GAGTCTTGGAGCCTCCTCTCCGATTCCCCCATCTGCCCCCCTTCTCCACTGGTGTTAGGCTGATTTCCTTCCCCAGCAGATGGGCTGCCTCTCTCCCTACTGGGGCCCTCTCCTGCATCCCTTTGGAGCCTTCCCTCCGCCTCTAGCTCCGATGGCAGTTCCCTGACATGTACAGACATTGAAGTCCATTAATCATTCCCCCGTGTCTCTTATTTAAGGATTTTTTCCTCCCACCACTAGGTCTGTGTGCTGTTTGCTCCATTTGGTCTATGACATTTGGATGATCATCTTCATCAATTGATAGACTCCTACCTTCAGGAGCACTGTCTCCCTCCCCCACATTAGTCAGTTTAAAGCCCTCCTTTAGGAAGGTGGCTTTTCTCTGTTTGGTCTCGTTCTGTTGATTTTCCTACTAATCTGTGGGTTCTTTTCATCTTGTTTTTTTGGGGGGTACAGTTATGACCAAGGGTCCAAAGTAAGGGAGAAGTATTTCTGAACAACTAACATATGAAATGGGCAGAAATGTCCAAATGCACTCAGTAGATAAGGCTTTCTGAAAGGCCCATCTGTAGCTAGAGATGCCCTGTTTCACCTGTGAGAGACATGGGCACTCCTGGCATCCTGCTTACCTTTTTTCTCTTGCAGGTGACAGAAGGATGCCGGCAGGACCTCCCTATCCACCTTTTCATGGGGGCAGAAGAGAAACAGCGGCTGCGGAACCAACTCAGGTCAGGGGAAGTGCCTTGTGGGGACAGAGACCGAGGGATGGAGCAATGTCATGGACTGGTTGGGCACAGAGGAATGGTGGGAGGAAGCAGCCAGGGAACCAGGAAAGGAAGACGTCTCAGAGCCCAAGGAGTGGAGGTGTAGGAAGGATGGGCAGTGAGAGGGGGAAGAGGGAGAAGCCTGGGAAGAGGAGGCGTCAGAAGCTGAAATGGTAACAGGGCTTAGTGAGCTGGGAGACTCTGAGGCAGAATGCAGTGAAGAATCAGAGGCAGAAGAGGAAGGAGGCGAGTGGGAGGAGGGAGGTCGAGAGGCAGAGGTGAGTCAGGAGAAGGAGGAGTCACCGGGGGCTCCCTCTCCTTATGCCAGAAGCCCCCCTCCCTGCTTGTCTCTCAGAGCCCAGAGACTTCTGACAATGGAATTAGAATCATAGAATCATAGAGTTGGAAGAGACCACAAGGGCCATTGAGTCCAACCCCCTGCCAGGCAGGAAAGACCATCAGAGCACTCCTGACATATGGTTGTCAAGCCTCTGCTTAAAGACCTCCAAAGAAGGAGATTCCACCACACTCCTTGGCAGCAAATTCCACTGTCGAACAGCTCTTACTGTCAGGAAGTTCTTCCTAATGTTTAGGTGGAATCTTCTTTCTTGTAGTTTGGATCCATTGCTCCGTGTCCGCTTCTCTGGAGCAGCAGAAAACAACCTTTCTCCCTCCTCTATGTGACATCCTTTTATATATTTGAACATGGCTATCACATCACCCCTTAACCTCCTCTTCTGCAGGCTAAACATGCCCAGCTCCCTTAGCCGTTCCTCATAAGGCATCGTTTCCAGGCCTTTGACCATTTTGGTTGCCCTCCTCTGGACCCGTTCCAGTTTGTCAGTGTCCTTCTTGAACTGTGGTGCCCAGAACTGGCACTGTGGTGCCCAGAATTGACACTGTTGGATCGCTTGCCAGAAACCCCAGAGAGGAGGGGACTTGGAAAGCTGTGGGGAGTCAGGGGCCTTCACTCTCAGCAATTGATTTCTTGGAGGAAGACCCTGTCATGGAATTCTACTCAAAATTGATCCAGAGCAGAACTACAATGTATAGTTAGCAGAGTAAAAACCTAAACACATTGCAGGATTCCCCCGAAATAGACCAGAGGCAATTGTATTTCATTCAGCAGAGCTTTACTGCTACTGTGAAGGCATAATGTTCCCAAATCCAAAATGTTCAGGATTGGCCCTGTGCATAAGAAATCCAGTTGCAGCAGACTTAGCTGAAATTTACCACAACCTAGGACTTGCTGATCAGAAGGTTGGCGGTTCGAATACCCATGATGGGGTGAGCTCCCGTTGCTCGGTCCCTGCTCCTGCCATCCTAGCAGTTCGAAAGCACGTCAAAGTGCAAGTAGATAAATAGATACCGCTGTGGCGGGAAGGTAAACGGCATTTCCGGGCGCTGCTCTGGTTTCACCAGAAGCGGCCTAGTCATGCTGGCCACATGACCCGGAAGCTGTACGCCGGCTCCTTCGGCCAATAAAGCGAGATGAACATTGCAACCCCAGAGTCGGCCACAACTGGACCTAATGGTCAGGGGTCCCTTTACCTTTAGGGAATTCTGGTGGCCCAAAATTAAGGAGGATACCACAGAATACGTGAGGGGGTGCGAAGTCTGTCAGACAGCCAAAGGGCAAAGGACAGCCCCAGCCGGGCTGTTACAACTGTTACCCACCCCAAGTAAACCGTGGGAAGTGGTATCCATGGATTTTTTCACCAACATGCCAGTGTCACAGGAAAAAAACCCCGGTTATTTGGGTGGTGGTAGATGTGCTGACAAAGATGGCGCATTTTGTACCTTGCTCTAAGATACCTTCCACAAAGGAGACAGCAGGGTTGTTCGTGGATCATGTGTTTAAGTTGCACGGTATGCCATCAAGGCTAATCACAGATTGTGGAAGTCAGTTTACTTCACATTTCTGGAGGAAGTTGACGGAGCTGTTGGGGTGGAGGTTAGCCTGACTTCAGCTAGGAATCCACAGAGAAACCGAGAGTCAGAAAGGACCAATGCCACCCTGCAGCAATACTTGAGGTGCTATACATGCTACCATCAAGATGATTGGGTAGAGAAGCTGAGCCTGGCCGAGTTTGCACACAACAATGCGGTCCACGCATCCGCGGGCATGGCCCCCTTTGTGGCGAACTATGGTGTGCATCCCAGGGCCTTTCTGGGTAGGGAAGAGGTGCTGTTAGTACCAGCAGCTGAGGAGTCTGTGGAGTAAATGGAGTACTTGCATGAGATATTGAAAGACAACCTGGAAGCATCAAAGGCAGGTTACAAAAGGATCTCGGACGCACATAGGCGGGAGGGAGAGAAAATCCAGGTAGGAGACCAGGTGTGGTTGTCCTCAAAGGGGTTGCCGTTCAAAGGGAGGTGCATGAAGCTAGAGCCTTGGAGGCTGGGGCCGTTTAAGGGGGTGCAGGAGATTAATCTGGTGTCCTTTAGGCCGCAGTTCTTTGCTGTCCCCCTTTATTCCAGCACACAGGTACCAGGGGGAGAGGAAGGAACCTCCACCCCCCTTAAGCTGGTAGAAGGGGAGCAGGAGTACAAGGGGAGCAGGAGTATAAGGATGGATTCTTCCATCTGGGAAACTGGGATGCTTGCATAGGCAGAATGATTAGAAAAACACCAACTGGAGTACCACCTATTCACAAAACATGACTGTTCCAGTCACCAGTCTAGCTGCCGCATTCTGGATTAGTTGTAGTTTCCGGGTCATCTTCAAAGGTAGTCCCAGGTAGAGCGCATGGCAGCAGTCCAAGCAGGAGATAACCAGAGCATGCATCACTCTGGCAAGACAGTCACGGCAGATAGGGTCTCATCCTGCATACCAGATGGAGCTGGTAGACAGCAGCCCTGGACACAGAATTGACCTGCACCTCCATGGACAGCTGTGAGGCCGAAATGACTCCCAGGCTGCGCAGCTGGTCCTTCAGGGGCACAGTTGCCCCATTCAGGACCAGGGAGTCCCCCACACCTGCCCGCCTCCTGTCCCCCAGAAACAGTACTTCTGTCTTGTCAGGATTCGACCTCAATCTGTTAGCCACCATCCATCCACCAACCAACCAACCAACCGCCTCCAGGCACTCACACAGGACCTTCACCGCCTTCACTGGTTCTGATTTAAAGGAGAGGTAGAGCTGGGTATCATCCGCATATTGAACAACACCCAGCCCAAACCCCCTAATGATCTCTCCCAGCGGCTGTATTAACAGGAAGGAAAGAACAGAGCATTGTGTAGCAGATCATATTGACCCTGTCTCAGAGGAGGACATTTCCCTTTTTCTTTTAGGGTCCAGTGTGCTTTGAAGATGTTGCTGTTTGTTTCACGGACGAGGAGTGGGCGTTGCTGGATCCTGACCAGAGAGCTCTGCATAAGGATGTCATGGAGGAGAATGGTGGGATCGTGGCCTCTCTTGGTAAGGCTCCCTGTGGGATCGTCCTATCTGCCTGGAAATTCAAAAAATACCTCTATGTGATTTCCACAGAGCTCAGCAGCGCCCCCTCCAACACCTGGGAACCAACACCCCCACAAAAAACCTTGAACAGCAAATTCCAGTTTTTTCTGTGAACCATCTTCCTCCAGTTCTGCCTTTTTATACCACGATTCGGCTGGTCTGAACTGGCCAGACATCTTAAATGTCACCTTCAGAGTTGTTCGGAAAGATAAGTAGCTTCTGTCAGGTTTTCTGTTTTTGTTTTCTTGGGTTGACCAAAGAGACGCCTCACATTGGCGATGGAGGGGATGCCATGACTGGGCCAAACAAAATCCATCCCAGAGAAGAGCCAGGCTTATTGAATCTCAGGTAGTGGTAGCAGTGATAGTAATACTAATAATTTTTATTTATCCCTGCCCATCTGGCTGGGTTGCCCCAGCCACTCTGGGTGGCTTCCAACACATATATAAACATGAAACATTAATAATAACAATCTGATCCCGTATAAAAAGCACATTAGCTTTTAATGAACAACTTATACTAGTGGCTAAAATCATGGAAACTTTTTAAAAAGTGTGTTTCCGAGGTTTGATGGCTCATAACACCACTTTTTTCGGAGTGATACCATAGGAAAGATAATTTGATGAAGAATGCAATGCAATAACTTTTATGAAGGAGTATTTATTAGAACAGCAGTCATAAAAAAGAAATGTGAAACACATAGAAAAAAGGAGATCTACAGAAATTCTCACCATGTCAATTAATACTGACTTTGGTAACCTTTAGCTTTAATTCTGGCCTTACAACGCCTTCTCATGGAGTGAAGCAAGTTTTTTAGTTCTGCAGCTGTAATAATGTGAAACCAAGACTGAATTATTGCCTCTATTAATTGGGCTTTGTTGCTGGGTTGCTTCTGACTAACAAGTTTCTTTAGTCGGCTCCCAAGATTTTCGCTTGGCCTATTCCCAGGCCATTCCAGCAGTGGAATAGGATTTCACATTCAGAACACTTCAGTTCAGGCTCAAGTATTTGATTTATGTATTTGGGGGCATTTACATTCCCATTAATGACACAAATTCTGCCCACACCTTTTGCTGTCATACAACCCCAGATCATCACACTATCTGGGTGTTTCACGGTCAGTGTAATGCAAGTAGGATGTAAATCTCCTCCGATTCTCCTCCTCGCGTATTTCATGCCCTCACTACCAAGCAAGGAGATTGGGGTCTCATCACACCAAATAACACTGTCCCATTGTTCCGCTGTCCAGTTACCATGGGTTTTAGCCCAGTTTAATCTTTTCCACCTTTGCTTGAGAGATAATGGCTTTTCCCTTGGAATTCTAGCATTTAGATCAGTCCTTGCACTCAACCTCACCTTACATTGCCCCATGTCATCTTGTAAACACCCAGATGATTTTCTTCTGTCCTGTAGGCACAGACTCTTCATTCTTCGATCATCACTTGCTGTTGTGCACCTTTTCCTGCCTTTACCAGTCTGATTTTGTAGTGACTGAAACTCCTTATGTTGTTGTTTAGTCGTTTAGTCGTGTCCGACTCTTCCTGACCCCCTGGACCAGAGCACGCCAGGCACTCCTGTCTTCCACTGCCTCCCGCAGTTTGGTCAAACTCATGCTAGTAGCTTCGAGAACACTCTCCAACCATCTCGTCCTCTGTCGTCTCCTTCTCCTTGTGCCCTCCATCTTTCCCAGCATCAGTGTCTTTTCCAGGGAGTCTTCTCTTCTCATGAGGTGGCCAAAGTATTGGAGCCTCAGCTTCAGGATCTGTCCTCCCAGTGAGCACTCAGGGCTGATTTCTTTCAGAATGGATAGGTTTGATCTTGCAGTCCATGGGAGTCTCCTTATATCTCTTCACAAATATAGAAAGGCCAGCTTTGGTTAAGTTTTCCTCAATCTTCTGTTTTCTTTTTTAAAATGAATATTTATTGAATTTTATAACAAATAAAAATATCTCAATCATCATGTTATATACAAATGTTCTCCCTCCCGTCCTCCGGACTTCCCTCAACTCGCCCTCTACTGAGTTATTTAGTTTTATTTATTGCGTCCTGCTTTATATAAAAGTAAATTCCCTTATCATTTTGCTAAAATTTCTGTTACTATAATAAAGTTGTGAACATTTATTCAGACCCTGCCAGTTGTTGTTTCTGCAAATAACCTGTAAATGGTTCCCAAACTCTTTTAAAATCCTTTTTGTCCTTCTCTCGTTGTTTATTTGTTAGCTTAGCCAATTCTGCATAATTCATCAGTTTTTCTTACCATTGTTCTTTTGATGGTATTTCTTCCATCTTCCAATTTTGTGCAGTCAAGATATTTGCCGCTGTTGTAGCATACATAAATAATGTCCATTTTTCTTTTGGCAGCTCTTGATTTGAGATACCTAACAGAAAGGCTTCAGGATGTTTACCAAAGCTCATTTTAAACATTTTTTTCAGTTCATTATATATCATTTCCCAATATTTTTTAATGCATTTGCATTCCCACCACATATGATAAAATGTTCCTTCCTTTTTCTTTACATCTCCAGCATCTCTTATTTTCTTTCTTAAACATCTTTGCCATTTTCACTGGTGTGATATACCATCTATACATCATTTTCATGTAATTCTCTCTTAATAATATACAATCTGTAAATTTTATATCAACTTTTCACAATTTCCCCCAACTTTCAAATTGAATGTTGTGTCCCACATCCTGAGCACATTTAAACATGACTGATTTAACCTCTTCATCTTTGGTTTCCCACTCTAATAAAACACTATATGCTTTTTAAAACAAAATTGGGTAAAGTTGGAAAAAGAAGAAAAGTCCTCAATCTTTCTTCTAATTTCTTCATTACTGTAGCCTTTTTCACTTAATAGTACTATTTTTCATCGCTTCTGGGTGTCTCGCCAACTCTTTGTGCCATTTCTTTAATTTTATTATGTTTTACAAACACACTAAATGAAAAAAACACCAAATAAGCAACGAATGTGATAGACATCACATAACACACTGACAAAAGTCAACCTAAGCAAGTTGTGCTTCCTTTTTCTAGTTATTTGGCTGTAAATTTTGATAGAATACAGATAGGTGCATTCTTGATTAAATTATCCTTACATTGATACATAATTTGTGGTATTACTCCAAATGAAGTGGTGTTACGAACCATCAAACATCTGAAATACGCTTTTTTCCCAAAAGGCTTTCACAATTTTGGCGACTACTATATATCAAACAAATCAACATTCAACAATCCATCAGAATATATTACTAAAAATGTTGGTTAATGACAACCAACAAAGGCAATGAACAAAGACCCAACTCCTTTCAGTTCTTCTTGATGTGTGCCTGAGGCTCTAATCCCTTTTTTGTCTCCATTGCAGATTTTGATGAATTGGAAATCAAGAACAAGGGTGACCATGACGAAACCCCCGGAGAGGAGAAGCCACGCAAAAATTTGGAATGTGGCGAGAGCTGCAGTCAGAGCTCCCATTCCACTTCCCAACAAAGAATTCTCATTGGAAAGAAACCCTATCAGTGCATGGAATGGGGAAAGAGCTTTAGTCAGAGAGGCCATCTCACTAAGCATCAGAAAATTCATACAGGGGAGAAACCCTATCAGTGTATGGAATGTGGAAAGAGCTTTAGTCAGAGCTCTGATCTCACTAAGCATCAGAGAATTCATACAGGAGAGAAACCCTATCAGTGTGTGGAATGTGGAAAGCACTTCAGTACGAGCTCAGATCTCACTTCCCATCAAAGAACTCATACAGGGGAGAAACCCTATAAATGTGTGGAATGTGGAAAGAGCTTCAGTACGAGCTCTTATCTCTGTAAGCATCTGAGAATTCACAGAGGTGTAAAACCCTATCAGTGTGTGGAATGTGGAAAGCACTTCAGTCAGGGCTCCAGTCTCACTTCCCATCAGAAAATTCACGCAGAGGAGAAACCCTATCAGTGCGTGGAATGTGGAAAGAGCTTCAGGGAGAGCTCCAGTCTCACTTGCCATCAGAGAATTCATAGAGGGGGAAAACCCTATCAGTGTGTGCAATGTGGAAAGAGCTTCAATAAGAACTCCAATCTCACTTCCCATCAGAGAATTCATACAGGGGAGAAACCCTATCAGTGCATTGAATGTGGAAAGAGCTTCAGTCAGGGCTCCAGTCTCACTTCCCATCAAAGAATTCATAGAGGGGAGAAACCCTATCAGTGTGTGGAATGTGGAAAGAGCTTCACTGATAGCTCCTCTCTCACTTCCCATCAGAGAATTCATACAGGGGAGAAACCCTATCAGTGCGTGGAATGTGGAAAGCACTTCAGTCAGGGCTCCAGTCTCACTTGCCATCAGAGAATTCATAGAGGGGAGAAACCCTATCAGTGTGTGGAATGTGGAAAGAGCTTCAATAAGAACTCCAATCTCACTTCCCATCAGAGAATTCATACAGGGGAGAAACCCTATCAGTGCATGGAATGTGGAAAGAGCTTCAATAAGAACTCCCATCTCACTTCCCATCAGAGAATTCATACAGGGGAGAAACCCTATCAGTGCATGGAATGTGGAAAGAGTTTCACTGATAGATCCTCTCTCACTTCCCATCAAAGAATTCATACAGGGGAGAAACCCCATCAGTGCATGGAATGTGGAAAGAGCTTCAGTCACAGCTCCAATCTCACTTCCCATCAAAGAATTCATACAGGTGAGAAACCCCATCAGTGCATGGAATGTGGAAATACCTTCAGTCAGAGAGGCCATCTCACTTCCCATCAGAGAATTCATACAGGTGAGAAACCCTATCAGTGTGTGGAATGTGGAAAGAGCTTCAGTTCGAGTTCCCATCTCACTAAGCATCAGAGAATTCATAGAGGGGAGAAACCCTATCAGTGCATGGAATGTGGAAAGAGCTTCAGTCAGAGCTCCTCTCTCACTTCCCATCAACTAATTCATATAGGGGAGAAACCCTATCAGTGCGTGGAATGTGGAAAGAGCTTCAGGAAGAGCTTCAATCTCATTTCCCATCAGAGAATTCATGCAAAGGTTGGAAAAACCATTATACAGCTTTAGGAGCCAGGCAAATCCAAGGGACTTTGATGAAACATGCCTTCAAATACTTTTTGGATTACAGTGCTGACTGTGGAGAGTGGGCTGACCTGTCGAGGGGGGATGGAGATATTGTTGGGTTGGAGTCTCCCCGAGACCTACTCCTCAATGAGAAAGGAAAGAAATTAAGAAAAAGATCAACAAAAGACAAAGTAAAGTGCAGGTATAAACAAGAAGATGATCTGCAGAAGGGACATGGAAAAGACTTAAGAGCCTCGGACAGAAGATCACCAGGTTGATGGACTAGATGGAATGGATAGAAAGGACTGACATAACCCGAGACCAGGAAGAAGAGACGATGGATGAAGATTGGAAGAAAGTTGTTAAAAATTCATTTTGAGAAATAGTGTAAAATTGATGAGTGTTAGGAAAAATGTTGGAATGAAACTATTTGGCTTTAGTAGAAACGATATAAGGAGTTATGTATAAATAAGTATTAAGTTTTAAGTTTAAGTCTTAAGTCTTTTTATGGTAAGATAAGGTTAAAATAAATTAAGGTAATTTAATTTCTCCCTGTTAAACAAACAAGATGAATTTTAACAGGGAGAAATGTAAAGTATTGCACTTGGGCAAAAAAAATGAGAGGCACAAATACAAGATGGGGGACACCTGGCTTGAGAGCAGTACATGTGAAAAGGACCTAGGAGTCTTGGTTGACCACAAACTTGACATGAGCCAACAGTGTGACGCGGCTGCTAAAAAAGCCTATGCAATTCTGGGCTGCATCAATAGGAGTATAGCATCTAGATCAAGGGAAGTAATAGTGCCACTGTATTCTGCTCTGGTCAGACCTCACCTGGAGTACTGTGTCCAGTTCTGGGCACCACAGTTCAAGAAGGACACTGACAAACTGGAACGTGTCCAGAGGAGGGCAACCAAAATGGTCAAAGGCCTGGAAACGATGCCTTATGAGGAACGGCTAAGGGAGCTGGGCATGTTTAGCCTGGAGAAGAGGAGGTTAAGGGGTGATATGATAGCCATGTTCAAATATATAAAAGGATGTCACATAGAGGAGGGAGAAAGGTTGTTTTCTGCTGCTCCAGAGAAGCGGACACGGAGCAATGGATCCAAACTACAAGAAAGAAGATTCCACCTAAACATTAGGAAGAACTTCCTGACAGTAAGAGCTGTTTGACAGTGGAATTTGCTGCCAAGGAGTGTGGTGGAGTCTCCTTCTTTGGAGGTCTTTAAGCAGAGGCTTGACAACCATATGTCAGGAGTGCTCTGATGGTGTTTCCTGCTTGGCAGGGGGTTGGACTCGATGGCCCTTGTGGTCTCTTCCAACTCTATGATTCTATGATTCTAATGACAGAATACAGTGAAAGATGGAAAGGATTTGCTGAGTTAATTAATAGGTTAGACCGTTAAGGTAAGTTATAGAATAAAAATTGAGAAAGATGGAAAGAATTTGTTGAAACAATTAATTAAATCAGAATACAAAAAGGGAGGTGTGAGGAGGTCGATGAAACAAGTAAAGGAAAGATAAAGATATGGAATATGGATGTGTGTTTTAATGTTATTGTTACTTTTTGCTGTATTGTTGTATTGTTTTTTATGTTTTTTTTCTTTATGTATTGTAATGTATGTCCTGTTAAATTTTTGTTGTTGTTTTCTCTTTTTTTTGTAATTTTTAAACTTCTAATAATTTTTTTTTTTTTTTAAAGGAGCCAGGCAAATCCGTACCTTGCTAACCAGTCCTTTGCCTGATTGCTATCTAATGCCCTTTTAAAATGTGGTAGTGAGGGGGGTTACAGATGTGTATTTTGTGTTTTTATATTGTCTTTTTATGTTGTAACCATCCTGCGACATGTGGGAACAGGAGTCAACTCTTAGAGGCTGATGGGTCTTTGCCCCCCCAATAATATACAGTCATACCTTTTGTTACATTTGCTTCAGGTTACGTCTTTTCAGGTTGCATCCTGCGGCAACCCGGAAGTACCGGAAAGGGTTACTTCTGGGTTTCACCGCTTGCCATGCGCAGACGTGCAAAATGATGTCATGCGCCTGCACAGATGTGGTGACTTGTGACCCTTGCATGCGCAGACACGGGTTGTGTTCCTTTCAGGTTGCGAATGGGGCTCCAGAACGGATCCCGTTCACAACCAGAAGTCCAACTGCATTTGATGGAGAAACCACCAGTTGGTACATGCTGCCATTCCAATGGTGTGCATGCATCATGTGATTGATTGTGCAAGGCAGGCCTTACCTGGCCCCCCACCCATATTTTATTCAAGTTGGCACCACTGGGTCGGGTGGTAGACAAATTAAATAAATACATAAATCGCCTTCCTTTGCACATGTTCCAGCTTGTCAATATCCTTATTTATTATCATTTTTTAAATTTATGTGCCCTTCATCTGAAGATTTTACAACATAACCATACTGGATGAAAGCATGGCTTTCTCAAAAACAAGAACTTCCTGACAGTAAGAGCTGTTCGACAGTGGAATTTGCTGCCAAGGAGTGTGGTGGAGTCTCCTTCTTTGGAGGTCTTTAAGCAGAGGCTTGACAACCATATCTCAGGAGTGCTCTGATGGTGTTTCCTGCTTGGCAGGGGGTTGGACTCGATGGCCCTTGTGGTCTCTTCCAACTCTATGATTCTATGATTCTATGATTCTAAGTCAAGCCCGAGAAATCTCTCCTCCCCCTTTTTTTGGATGGAGTTACAAACTTTGTTGACAAAGTCCCCCGTGATATTTTTGCCAGGAAGCTGGTAAAATGTGGGCTGAATGAAGTAACTGTTAGGTGGATTTGACTAACCGAACCCAAAGAGGAGGGAGAAAGGTTGTTTTCTGCTGCTCCAGAGAAGCGGACACGGAGCAATGGATCCAAACTACAAGAAAGAAGATTCCACCTAAACATTAGGAAGAACTTCCTGACAGTAAGAGCTGTTTGACAGTGGTATTTGCTGCCAAGGAGTGTGGTGGAGTCTCCTTCCTTGGAGGTCTTTAAGCAGAGGCTTGACAACCATATGTCAGGAGTGCTCTGATGGTGTTTCCTGCTTGGCAGGGGGTTGGACTCGATGGCCCTTGTGGTCTCTTCCAACTCTATGATTCTATGATTCCTTCATGGTTCCTCGTCATCCTGGGGAAAAGTGACAAGAGGGGTGCTGCAGGGTTCTGTCCTGGGCCCATTGTTGTTCAGCGTCTTTATAAATGACTTGGATGAAGGACCTGAGAGGGATACTCATGACATTTGCAGATGACACAAAACAGGTAGCAGAGGTCAACACAATAATCTTTATTGTCATTATCCCATGTCGCAGAAGGCAGAATCAGATCAAGGACATGAATTTTGTTGTTTAGTCGTTTAGTCGTGTCTGACTCTTCGTGACCCCATGGACCAGAGCACGCCAGGCACTCCTGTCTTCCACTGCCTCCCGCAGTTTGGTCAAACTCATGCTGGTAGCTTCGAGAACACTGTCCAACCATCTCGTCCTCTGTCGTCCCCTTCTCCTTGTGCCCTCCATCTTTCCCAACATCAGGGTCTTTTCCAGGGAGTCTTCTCTTCTCATGAGGTGGCCAAAGTCTTGGAGCCTCAGCTTCAGGATCTGTCCTTCCAGTGAGCACTCAGGGCTGATTTCCTTAAGAATGGATAGGTTTGACCTGTTGGTTTCTGATTTCCCTCACTGAGCAGCAACTGCAGTCACAAGACATTGTTTTACATTCCACAGTCTGTACTGTTGGAGTTTCTCACGGGAAAGGGAGACTGGATGTGACGTACACTGGTTTCCTGTTTTTCACTGTCTGAGTGATTTCTCTCCGAGCTGTTGAGGAGAGAGGATGCATTTTTCTGCTCCTGCAGACGCAAGATGTCTTTCTGTAATATACCAGCTTTGAACTGTAAATAAAGCAATATAGAGTATGTATCACATATTCTCATCCTTCCGCTGGCCACGACAGACTCTGCTTTAAATCAACACGTGGTTATGGGCTCCAGGAGTCGAATCGGAGTGCCGGCAGAGGATCGGAATGCAGAGGGACGGATCGGAAAGGAATCTGCTCTGCGCGTAGAAGTGATTGATGAGGTATGTGCTACTGCTCCGGGCAGCCTGCCAGCTTCAAGATAATGGCTTTATGGCTGGACTTTGAACTTTAAAGCCGGTTTTGCAAATAGGCAAAAGGCTCCCAGGCACAAGTCACTATGCTGGGGAAATCGAAAGTAACTTTTAAGTGTGCCTTTGTAATCAGGCAGCTGCAGCAGTGACGCAGCAAGATTTAAAGCAGCATATGACGCTGAAGGCTAATGCCAGAGTCATGATGGCCCTTCAGGATGCTTGTGGGATTCCTAAGCTCAACAAGAAAAATTACAGCGACTGGGTTCAGTATGCAGAGGCAATTCTGCGGAAAGAGGGTTTGTTTGAGGTGATTACAGCAACCCAACCCAGTTCCAGTTACAGATGCATGGGAAGCTAAGGATTCCAAAGCAAGGGGAACTCTTACATTGATAGTATCCCCAGAAGAGCTCTGTCTATTGCGTGATAAGACCTCAGCCAGAGAAATTTGGGACGCTCTGAGAGAGGCTCACTTAAGGACAGAAGCTGGATCCACTATGTTTTATTTTAACAAGCTGCATAATATGGCTCTTGCTGAAGGTGGAGATGTGCGTTTACATCTGATGGAGATGCAAAATCTGAGACATGAGCTGCAACAGAGAGGACTCAACTTTCCAGAGGCTGTGTATTCTTTCATGATACTACAATCTTTGGGTTCAGGTTGGGAGTCTGTTGCAACCCAGATTGCTGTGCAACCAACTGCTCAGCTGACAGTGGACTATGTTACTGCCGTGATTTTAAATGAAGCAGATCGCCGGGGTGCTAGCTGCATGGGCAAGGGGGAGTCTTCACAGACGTCATCCCATAGTGCAGTGGAACCACCAGATGGCGCCAAAGCTATGAAGGCAGTGAAATGCTACTCTTGTGGACGTCTAGGCCATATGAAGAGGGAATGCAGACATCCCAGGGCCAAGACAGAGCAGCGCAGCGAAAGCTCATCGCGCGGAAAAGGCCGAGGCAAAGGTCCGGTGTCTAGGACAACGCAGCACAAGGCTATGGTTTCACGCTTCACTCCAAAGGTTACAGAGGTCCAGAAGACGTCTAGATCTTTCTTCGTTGTTGATTCAGCGGCGACACACCACATGTGCAACGATAAGAAACTGTTTGTGTCTTTTACACCGCAGGAAGGTGCGATTCACCAGGCGGATGACCACACTATTCCCAGTAAAGGCTACGGAACTGTTGTTCTTCACAGTTTGGACTTATCGATACAGAATGTGCTTTACGTGCCAGACGCCAAACATAATCTGCTCAGCGTTGGACAGCTGAATGAGCGGAACATTGACGTTTCCTTCAAGAACAAGAAGTGCATCATCACAAAGAAAAATGATTATGTATTGCATGCAGAATATGTTGATCATTTGTTTGTTTTGTATTATGATGATGTGATGCAGGATGACACTTGTTGCATTGCAGGTTCTAACAGAAGTTTGCATGCAGAATGTATTCACGATTTTCATCGAAAATTTGGTCATTTGCATTTTGAGGCAGTATCTAAAATGCCTGCCTTGGTTGAAGGTATGACTATTAAACCCTGCAGGTACCACATGAAGTGCAAAGCATGCGCAGCAAACAAGGTGAAAATGGCTGCGAAAGGTAAGGTATCTAGTAGGAAAGCTACAGAACCATACCAGGTTGTTCATGCTGATTTGGTTGGACCACTATCGCCCTCTTTGGGTGGAAATAGGTACTTCATGGTTCTCATTGATGCATTTTCTAGATATATTTTTGTGTACAATCTCAAGCAGAAATCGGAGGCTTTTCCTAGGTTCAAGGAATTCTGTGCTTGGTTGGAAAATGTGCATGGTAAGAAGATAAAGACTCTTTTCAGTGATCGCGGGGGGGAATTCACTTCTCAGCAGTTTGAAGCTTTTCTGACTGAGAAAGGAATTCAACACGATTTGTCTAGTCCTCGCTCGCCATGGCAGAATGGACTTGCGGAACGGGCAAATCAGACATTGCTTCAAGGCTTAAAACCTTGCTGCATGATGCCAATCTTCCAGAGAGTTATTGGGCCGAATCTCTCTCGTGTTTTGTTTACAGTTACAATCGCAGGTTATCTTCAGCGATTGGATGTACCCCCTATGAAAAGATGTTTGGCAAGAAGCCATACATCAAACACATGAAGATTTTTGGTTCTGACATGTGGGTTCGCTCACCACAAAACTCCAAGTCAGACAAGCGTGGATTGCATGGTATCTTTCTAGGTTATCAGAAAGGGTCTTACAGAATAATGATGACTGACTCTAAGACAATTAAGCTCACGAGAAGTGTTGAGTACAATGCAAAGTGGGGGGAGAATGTGGGAATTTTCCAATGTTATCCTGATGACGGTGATGAGACTGAGGATAGTCAAAAGCAACCACAACAGCCCACACCCACTGATGAAGGTTCTGAGTCTGGATCTGAAACTGAATCGGGTGATTCAGAGGATTTCAAGAGTGCGAAAGCCTCTATGCGACCCTCTGAAAGCTCTGATCAAGAATTGGAGGAACCATTGTTCACAATAGGTCGTTTTTCTCCTAAGAAGGAAGAGGAGAGTGTTGAAGACTTAAGGCTAATCCGTAGGTCACAGAGAGCCACAAAAGGCAAACCTCCAAAGAGATTTGCTGATGAGTTTGCTACGATAGCAGTAACAGCTGTTAAAAGCTCCAAGAAGGTATTTGAACCTTCAAGTTTCCAAGAAATCCAGGGTTTGGATTCAAAGGAAGCTGAGCCATGGTTAAATGCCATGAAGGCTGAGCTTGATTCCTTAGAAAGGAACAAAACATGGGAGCTAGTTCCAGTAGTTCCAGGAATGAAACTGCTTGGAAGCAAATGGGTCTTCAAAGCGAAGACAGATCAAAATGGCAAGATAGTCAGACACAAAGCCAGATTGGTAGCCAGAGGTTTTGCACAGGTACCAGGTGAAGACTATCACGAGACCTATTCACCCACAGTGAGATATGAAAGCATTAGGCTTATGCTCAAGCTAGCTGCAGAGGAAAATCTACACATTAGTCACCATGATATTAATACAGCTTTTCTGTACGGATCTCTAGATGAATCACTTTATATGCTTCCACCTGATGGCGTACAGGTAAAACAGGGATTTGTTTGTGCTCTGAAGAAATCCCTTTATGGTCTCAAACAAAGTGCACGGTGTTGGCACACAAAACTCACTGAAGTATTGTTTTCTCTAGGTTTTCAGCAAGGGAAAGCTGATCCATGTGTATTTGTCAAAGAGGAGGGGCAAAAGAAACTGTACTGTTTGTTTTATGTTGATGATTTATTATTCTTTTGGAAAGATGTTGCAATGTACAATAGCGCCCTAGCTCAACTGAAAGAGCACTTTGACATGAAAGATCTTGGTGAGGTAAACAACTACCTATCTCTGGAAATAGAGAGAGATCAAGATGGTAACATTCTAGTACACCAGTCACGGAAAATTGCTGATGTGTTAAGCAAACTAAATCTGATGGATGCTAACCCTGTAGACACACCGATGACAACAGGTTATCAGGTAGATGACACTGAAGAAGCATTTTCTGACACTACACTGTACAGGAGTGTGCTAGGCAAGCTAAACTTCATTGCCAGATGTTCAAGACCAGACATTGCTGTTAGCTGTAATTTGCTAAGCAGACAAGTCAACAATCCTAGTGTCTAGGATTTGAAAGCTCTGAAACGCATAGCGCGGTATTTGAAAGGCACTATGCATTACAGACTGAGATTTAACAATCAGAAGTCTGGTGGTCTTGAGATATTTGCAGATGCAAGTTTTGGAAGTGACGCTACAGACAGGAAAAGTACGTCTGGAGTTTGCTACATGTACAATCAGAGTCTGTTTGATTGGTCATGCGAGAAGCAAACAACAATTAGCTTAAGTACTTGTGAAGCTGAACTGAATGCACTGTCTTATTCACTTAAGGATTGTGAATGGTTAGTACAATTGTGCAAAGATATGAAAATTCCTGTCAAATGTCCAATCCAGGTTTACCAGGACAACAAAGCATGTTTGGCTTTGCTGAAGTCTGAAGGTTGTAAGCAAAGCACAAAGCACTTGCAATTAAAGTTGCAGCATGCTAGGGAATGTATTCAGAAGGGACTCGTAACGGTGTCCTATATGCCAGGTAATGAAATTCCTGCTGATGTATTGTCCAAGATTGTATCAAGGGATCAACACTGTACCTATGTGCAGAAGTTGGGTTTGTACTGATATTGTACGAACACGCTGCCCAGTGATGTTCACAGAAAGGGGAGGATGTTGGTTTCTGATTTCCCTCACTGAGCAGCAACTGCAGTCACAAGACATTGTTTTACATTCCACAGTCTGTACTGTTGGAGTTTCTCACGGGAAAGGGAGACTGGATGTGACGTACACTGGTTTCCTGTTTTTCACTGTCTGAGTGATTTCTCTCCGAGCTGTTGAGGAGAGAGGATGCATTTTTCTGCTCCTGCAGACGCAAGATGTCTTTCTGTAATATACCAGCTTTGAACTGTAAATAAAGCAATATAGAGTATGTATCACATATTCTCATCCTTCCGCTGGCCACGACAGACTCTGCTTTAAATCAACACGACCTTCTTGCAGTCCATGAGACTCTCAAGAGTCTCCTCCAGCACCATAATTCAAAAGCATCCATTCTTCTGCGATCAGCCTTCCTTATGGTCCAGCTCTCACTTCCATACATCACTGCTGGGAAAACCATAGCTTTAACTATACGGACCTTTGTTGGCAAGGTGATGTCTCTGCTTTTTAAGATGCTGTCTAGGTTTGCCATCGCCTTTCTCCCAAGAAGCAGGCGTCTTTTAATTTCGGATTAATAGTACCACTATATTCATGTCCACTAATAGGACATGAATAGTACCATTTTGTTCTGCCTTGGTCTGGCCCAACGTAGAATACTGTGTTCAGTTCTGGGCACCACAATTTTAAGTATCAAGAAGGTGGAACACAATCCATATTCCTTTTATAACACATGGCCAATGGTTATTGAATACATAAATTGTGAAGACTGTTGCAGGAATCCACCCAGCACTCGTGGGAAAAGGTGGCCTGATCTTTTTTAAAATAATCAAATGAAACTTTAACACATGGCAGGATGAAAGTCTGCAATTCCATCTGACAAGTTATTTGTTGTTTACTGTTGTAACCTTTGCTTTCTTTAAAATTATCTTTTATATCATGAAAATTGAAGTGAAGGACATGAGGCAGGAGCTGATAATGCAGGTGAGCTGTGCACATGTGAGCTGCAAGCAAGCTGCCGGCCAGCTCTGTGGAGGCTCCTTTTATTGACACAATATGCAAACCCAGGCAGATACATTTTGGGCTGTGACCTTTACACATCTTCCAGTCCCGAGATCGTGGGGTGGTACAAAGCTATTTTGGCACCTGTTTCCACCGCGTCCTTTTCCCCTTGCACAATGTATGACGAAGGAGACAAAGGTCTCAGAGACAAAGGTTACAGACAGGACACTGCAGACCACTGAGACTGCAAAAGGTTAGACAGAGGGCAAGATGTTCAGACAGCTGTGGCTTTATCTGTGGAGGGGAGTGTGCCCCACACCCAGCGATCATTCCTACAAAAATAAAAGCAATTAAAATTTAAAAAAGGAGGTGGGGAAATCATGTGTACTATTCTACAGATCTTGCATGTGTTTTATGTTATTTGCAGACTGTAACTCCCAGTGATTTCACATTATCTATGGGTTTCTTTGTATTCAGCACACATGATTGCAGGTGAGACTGAATAAAACACTTCCCAGGAAATTCCCTTTGACTGCTTCTGTATTGTTTCAAATGTGATTTCACTTACAGATAAGAACAAATCATATTTATTGCTGACAAATCACACCACAGTCAGCTCATTAATGTCAACCCCAACAAACCCTGCGCTTAGCATGAGCAGCTGCTTTCTTCCCATTTCTTAGGTGGAAATAACTGTTAATGGGAAGGAAGAAGGGAGATAGACCTGGGATCTGGGGGGCTTCATTTCACCCCTTAGTCCTGCTCCTGAAAGATTGGCAGATGTGGAGTATTTGCTCACACATTGCCATGACTTAAAGATCAACATTTTATAAAAAATGGTATTGCAGTACTAAAAAGGCTCAAGAACGCCATTCCCTGTAGTAGCTTGAATTAACAATTAAGCATTTCTGCAAGGTTACAGCCTCCGCTAACCCAGAAATAGTACCTCGGGTTAAGAACTTTGCTTCAGGTTATGAACAGTTTCAGGTTAAGAACGGACCTCCAGAAGGAATTAAGTACTTAACCCGAGGTACCACTGTACTTGTGTATGTTTGTATAGCACCATGCACAAGAAAGTATTGGTCATTCACGATGAGAATAGGATTCCTGCATTGCTGGGGGTGGGGCTAGATGACCCTGGGCTTCCCCCTTCTATCCCTCCCACTCCTGCCTGCTGATGTAAAAGGATCCTGGGGGGGGGGGGGGGTCCTGTCACAGCCCTGCGACCTCCTGTTAATAAAGTGTGTGCCCAAAGACTGGTGGAATCGAAGGTGAAAGAATGGCGTAAAATATGAGACTGTACTCTACAAATGAAAGAAACACAATACAAATGAAATGAGGCAACCACACAGTTGAGTGTAACCGAAGGAAAGACTTGTGTGTCTCAGGGCCAGATTGTTGCCCTCGGGAGAGGGAGACCAGGAACCCCCCAAGCAGGACACAGAGAGCCAGTCCTCCACTTGGACACCCGAAAGGGCCAGCCCGGCCGGGAAGAGAGCGGCTTCCCCTGCTTCCCCCCCTATCTCCCCCCCCCAGAACAACTCTCCCAGGCCGGCTTCTCTCCTCCGGCGGCAGCAGGCTTCTCCCTCCCCGGCTCTCCTGCTGCGCTCCAGGGACCGAGGGAGATGCTCAGAGCTCAGCCAAGAGCCAAAGGCCCCCCAAAAAAGGGACCGAGGGAGATGCTCAGAGCCCAGCCAAGAGCCAAAGGCCCCCCCAAAGGGACCGAGGGAGATGCTCAGAGCCCAGCCAAGAGCCAAAGGCCCCCAAAGGGACCGAGGAGATGCTCAGAGCCCAGCCAAGAGCCAAAGGCCCCCAAAAGGGACCGAGGGAGATGCTCAGAGCCCAGCCAAGAGCCAAAGGCCCCCCCAAAGGGACCGAGGGAGATGCTCAGAGCCCAGCCAAGAGCCAAAGGCCCCCCCAAAGGGACCGAGGGAGATGCTCAGAGCCCAGCCAAGAGCCAAAGGCCCCCCCCCAAAGGGACCGAGGGAGATGCTCAGAGCCCAGCCAAGAGCCAAAGGCCCCCCCCAAAAGGGACCGAGGGAGATGCTCAGAGCCCAGCCAAGAGCCAAAGGCCCCAAAAGGGACCGATGGAGATGCTCAGAGCCCAGCCAAGAGCCAAAGGCCCCCCCAAAAGGGACCGAGGGAGATGCTCAGAGCCCAGCCAAGAGCCAAAGGCCCCCCCCAAAGGGACCGAGGGAGATGCTCAGAGCCCAAACAAGAGCCAAAGGCCCCCCAAAAAAGGGACCGAGGGAGATGCTCAGAGCCCAGCCAAGAGCCAAAGGCCCCCCCAAAAGGGACTGAGGGAGATGCTCAGAGCCCAGCCAAGAGCCAAAGGCCCCCCCAAAAGGATCCCTTGCCATAGGCGGAGCCAGGGGGAAGCTGCCCCCTTAGAGCCACTCAAAATAATAAAGAGCTGAGGTTCAGAAAGGCGAGAGAGGACTGAGCTTGGCGGACTGGCCTTGCAAGGGTTAAAGGGATCTGAGCTGCCTTCCTAGAGAGGCCAGGAAGCGGACGGGGGGGGGGGGCAGGTCCTCCAGAGCCAAGGCCCCTCCCTCCCCAGTCCTTTCCTGCTTGGGTGTCTCTCCTGGGATCTGGTGAGTCTCCGCGCTCTCTGGGGTCTGGGGAGTCTCCCTCTCTCTGGGATCTGGTGAGTCTCCTCTCTCTCTGGGATCTGGTGAGTCTCCTCTTTCTCTGGGATCTGGTGGGTCCCAGGGCTGCAGCAGGGGAGGGGGCTGGGGGGACCCCAAGTCAGGGAGGAGAGGGTCCTGCCAGGGAGGGGCCAGGTCTGCCACGCTCTCCTTCCTGCAGAGCAGAGGATCCCAAACTCATTTGGCCTTCCGCCCCCCCCTTCAGAAAAGTTCTCCCGTCTGTCAACAAAGGAGTCCCTAGGTTTAACTCTGTGATGTCGCTCAGCGTCATTGCACAACAGAGGAAACATCTGCAAATGGTTTTCGAAAGCTGGACGAGGAGGTGGACTAACCCCCCCAAAAAAACCACGGGAGGAGGAAGGAAGGTGGGAGAGGAAGGGCAGGAGTAAGAGAGGGATCCCAGCCCAGAGTCCGGCTGCTGCATTGGGGACCAGTTTCCCAGTGTCTCCCAGGGCAGCTCCCCACGGAGGCCACGGCAGCAATCCCCTCGCACCCAGAGCAGGGCATCCCAGGACCACATCCTCTCTCTCCCAAAGGGATTGTTGCTGGCAAAGCAGCCGGAAATGGGCGCTGCTACTCACTGAGCCTCCAGGGACCTGGGCATCAATGGCTGTGCGTGTGTTCAGCCATCTAAGAGAATAATCATAATAAATTAGCTGCCTAAATTTCAAAGGAGATGTATTTGGCCCCATCCACTTGGCCCTCAGGGGTTGGCCAGATACATTCCTGGCCCTCAGAGCAAAGAAAAGGGACCCCACCCCAGGAGTCTGTCTGGAGACCGGCAGAGAGCCCGAGTGCAAGACACTGAGACAAAAGCAGGGGGAAAATGTGCCCTGAAGTGGGGGTGGGGGGGAACAACTCCTGAGGACCCCCGTAATAGTAGTAGTAATAATAATAATAATTTATTATTTATACCCCACCCATCTGGCTGGATTTCCCCAGCTACTCTGGGCGGCTCCCAAACAGAACACTAAGAACAGAATAAAACATTAAAAGTTTCCCTGAACAGGGCTGCCTTCAGATGTCTTCTAAAAGTCTGGTAGTTGTTCTCTTTGACATCGAATGGGAGGGCATTCCACAGGGAGGGCGCCACTACCGAGAAGGCCCTCTGCCTGGTTACCTGTATCTTGGCTTCTCACAGGGAGGGAACCACCAGAAGGCCCTCGGTGCTGGACCTCAGTGTACAGGCAGAACGATGGAGGTGGAGATGCTCCTTCAGGTCTACTGGGCCGAGGCCGTTTAGGGCTTGAAAGGTCAGCTCCAACACTTTGAATTGTGCTCGGAAACGTACTGGGAGCCAATGGAGGTCTTTCAAGACCGGTGTTAGGTCTTGAAAGACCAGGGAGTCCTCCACACCCGCCCGCCTCCTGTCCCCCAAAAACAGTACTTCTCTCTTGTCAGGATTCAACCGCACTTAGAGCACATTGCATCCACATAGAACCAAGCATCCATTTTTCACAAAATACAAATGATTCCCTGGTCAGTCAGTTCTGACTTCACGCATTTACTGGAAGACAGGAGAAAACTGGCTGATTCACATTTTGCAATGCTATCTTCCTTCTAGGAGGGCTAGAGGCTGCTTCCTCCTCCTCCTCTCCTTCTTCTTCCTCTTCTCTCCACCTCCTTCTCCTCCGTCTTCTTTTTCAGAAGATATCTCATGGTGGTTTCTCCATTTAGATCCCTTCCAATCGGGATTCAGGCCTCATCATGGGACTGAAACTGCCTTGGTCGCACTGGTTGATGATCTCCGGCGAGCTAGGGACAAAGGTGAGAGTTGTTTCCTGGTTCTGCTGGATCTCTCAGCGGCCTTTGATACAATCGACCATAACATCCTTCTGGACCGTCTAGAGGGGCTGGGAGCTGGGGGCACTGCTATACAGTGGTTCTGTTCTTTCCTCCTCGGCCGTGTTCAGACAGTGGTGTTGGGGTGATTAGTGTTCAGACCCCTGGGCTCTCACTTGTGGGGTGCCTCAGGGTTCCGTCCTCTCCCCATGCTTTTAACATCTATATGAAGCTGCTGGGAGAGATCATCAGGGGGTTTGGACTGGGTGTCCATCAATATGCAGATGATACCCAGCTCTACCTCCCTTTCAAATCAGAACCAGTGAAGGCGGTGAAGGTCCTGTGTGAGTGCCTGGAGACGGTTGGAGGATGGATGGCGGCTAATGGATTGAAGTTGAATCCTGACAAGACAGAAGTACTGGTTTTGGGGGACAGGGGGCGGGCAGGTGTGGAGGACTCCCTGGTCCTGAATGGGGTAACTGTGCCCCTGAAGGACCAGGTGCGCAGCCTGGGAGTCATTTTGGACTCACAGCTGTCCATGGAGGCGCAGGTCAATTCTGTATCCAGGGCAGCTGTCTACCAACTCCATCTGGTACGCAGGCTGAGACCCTACCTGCCCGCGGACTGTCTCGCCAGAGTGGTACATGCTCTGGCTATCTCCCGCTTGGACTACTGCAATGCGCTCTACATGGGGCTACCTTTGAAGGTGACTCGGAAACTACAACTAATCCAGAATGCGGCAGCTAGACTGGTGACTGGGAGCGGCCGCCAAGACCATATAATGCCGGTCTTGAAAGACCTACATTGGCTCCCACTACGTTTCCGAGCACAATTCAAAGTGCTGGTGTTGACCTTTAAAGCCCTAAACGGCCTCGGTCCAGTATACCTGAAGGAGCGTCTCCACCCCCATCATTCTGCCCAGACGCTGAGGTCCAGCGCCGAGGGCCTTCTGGCAGTTCCCTCATTGCGAGAAGCAAAGCTACAGGGAACCAGGCAGAGGGCCTTCTCGGTAGTGGCGCCCGCCCTGTGGAACACCCTCCCATCAGATGTCAAAGCGATAAACAACTACCTGACATTCAGAAGACATCTTAAGGCAGCCCTGATCAGGGAAGTTTTTATTGTGTGATATTTTAGTGTGTTTTTTTTGGTTTCTATGGAAGCCGCCCAGAGTGGCTGGGGAAACCCAGCCAGATGGGCGTTGTACAAATAAATTATTATTATTTTTATTATTATTATTATTATTCCAATCTCTTAGAGACTTCCTGAGAGCACAGATGGATGAGCAAGACTCAGCTGGCCCTGGAGCAGGAAGAGGCCATGCCATCCAAACTGGGGGCAGTGGGGGATTCTGGGAAAACTCTGGGCAGAAGATCCTGGGTGAGGAGGACACCCTCCACTCAGAGGTGCAGATCCAGCAGTTTGGAAGGTTCTGCTGCCAGGAGGCCAAAGGACCCCGAGAGGTTTGCAGCCAACTCCACCACTTTTGCCACCAGTGGCTGAAGCCAGAAAGGCACACGAAAGCTGAGATGCTGGACCTGGTGATCTTGGAGCAGTTCCTGGCTGTCCTTCCTCCAGAGATGGAGAGCTGGGTGAGGGACTGTGGAGCAGAGACCAGTTCGCAGGCGGTGGCCCTGGCCGAAGGTTTCCTCCTGAGTCAGGCAGAGGAGAGAAAGCAGGTGAGAGAGACTTTCCTCTGGATACTCCCAAGGGGCTCCAAATAGGATGGAGAACATCCCATAATGCTCTCCTGATGGCCCTTCCTTTTCCTGGGAAGGCATCCATGGAATAAGGTTTCACACCCTTACAGTTTTTGACTTTGTAATTCCCATTCTAGTATTTCTCCCCATTCTCTGTTTTGAATCCTTGTTTCTTTTTCAGGGAAATGATCATTTTGTAGAAATGGACTTGGATTCCTGTGAGGCAGAGAGGCCTTGGTTGGACACCAGAGAGAGGCCACTGGGTAAGGAGGAAGGTGGCTTTTCTCCGTCTCATTCTGTTTTCCGTATAATCTCTGGGTCCTTTTCATCAGGTTTTTTTTTTTTGGGGGGGGGAGTTGGGAACAAGGGTCCAGAGGAGGAGAGATGTATTTCTGCACGGCTAACATATGAAATGGGCACAAATGTCCACCTGCACTTTTCTCTCTTGCAGATGGCAGAAGGATGCCGGCAGGACCTCCCTACCCACCTTTTCATGGCAGAAGGGAAGCAGTGGCTGTGGAACCAGATCAGGTCAGGGGAAGCTGCCTTGTGGGGACAGAGGCCGAGGGATGGAGCAATGTCATGGACTCCTTGGGAACAGAGGACTGGTGGGAGGAAGAAGCCGGGGAACCAGGAAGGGAAGACGTCTTAGAGCCCAAGGAGTGGAGGTGGAGGAAGGATGAGAGGTCAGAGGGGCAAGAGGGAGACGCCTGGGAAGAGGAGGTGTCAGAAGCTGAAGGGATAACAGGGCTTAGTGAGCTGGGAGACTCTGTGTCAGAATGCAGTGCAGAATCGGAGGCAGAAGCGGAAGGAGGCGAGTGGGAGGAGGGAGGTCGAGAGGCAGAGGTGAGTCAGGAGAAGGAGGAGCCACCGGGGGTCAGCATGACCTTGACAGAAGAGTTGACAGAACCTCTTTAAACCAGCTGTACTCTGAAGGAATGACCCAAACCTTACGAACATTCTGACTGTTTCTTTTTTGCAGAGAAGCTTCTGGAACCCTCTTGAATTACCTTATTTTTCGCTCTATACGACACACTTTTTCCCCTCCAAAAATGAAGGGGGAAAGTGTGTGCGTCCTATGGAGCGAATGCAGGCTTTTGCTGAAGCCTGGAGCGCGAGAGAGCTCCCGGCGGACAGCTGCCTGCAGCCCGAAGCCCGGGGAGTGCGGCGCTGTGCACCCCGGGCTTCGGGCAGCTCTCCACAAGTCTTCAGAGCCCGGTGGGAGTTCCCGCCAGGCTCCCAAGGCTTGCGGATAGCAGCCTGCTGTCCCCGAAGCCAAAACAGTGAGACGGGGCGCTGTGCTGCCCTTCGTCTAACTGTTCCAGCTTCGGGATGGCTGCGCAAAGCCTCTGCAGGGCGGCGGGGTGAAGGCACCCCACCGCCCTGCGGAGGCTACAAAGGATGTCCCCGAAGCCTCAAGCCTTTGGAGTGCAGCTGCGCTCCAAATGCTTCAGGGATCTTTGAGGCTGGCAGTGGGGAAAGCAGCACTTCCCCCCAGCGCCAGCCCCACAAGCTCAGGGGGCAGCGGCAAGGTTCCCCAACCTGCTCTTGAACGCACCATGAACGCACATTGTTTTTGAGGGGGAGAACAAGAAGAATTTTTTTCCCCCTATTCTCCCCCTTCTATGGTCCGGTGCGTCCAAAAGAGCGAAAAATACGGTAACTAGACTAGGAAAGAGCTCTACATATCAGATCAATGCTTTCTCCACTAAGAAATGCAGACTGACAATCCCCCCATTTATTAAGTGCAGGAAGTATTGATATGCAAAACACCTCTGGAAAAACATTGCATGTACACTTTCCTTCGACAAGAATAAATCCTAGCCTTTGGTTGGTAGACCTGCAGTTCACCAGCAGACGACACAGTCTGACCAGAAGCTTCTGTGAGCAGCAGAACAACATCCTGACTCCAAAAACTAAATGTTGTCCTTCACATTAGAAAACAAAAGGCTACCTATGAAACCTGACACAGTTAAGGAAAAAACACAACTCACTCATCAAAACAGCTATCTTATAAACCTTATCTTATCTTACTAACAGTATATAAGCTCCACTCAAACATATAAACCAAGACCTGAAAACCTCGCTTTATAGCAAATCTCTCCAACAGAATATTCAACAGAGCACTTCTTTACCAGACCACATCAACAAACTTTGCCCTGTATCATCTCGCTTTCCAAATCTCTCCACACTAAAGAAACTTCCACTTAGACAACTAGTCCATTAATTGATTGACAGTGCAAACTGACAGACCCTCAGGGAATGAGCTGCTGTTCTCATTCGGCCTGAAACTCAGACAAGATTGTGAATATTGTGTTCTCGCTGATAAAGAGTTAACTCCAGCTGTGAAGTGTGGGATTTCCTGCCCAGATAACTCTGTGACACCAGCCTTCTGAATGTCGCCTGTAGGATTCATCTGTAGTTGATGTTTGCATGGAATTCTAGAGTTGAAAGGGACCCCAAGGGTCATCAAGTCCCACCCCCTGCACTGCAGGAGTCTCAGCTAGATCCTCCAAGACAGATGGCCATCCAAACTAGGCTTCTTGTATTTCTATATTCATCACTGAGTGCTAAAATAGGCTTCTTTGCAGTGGACAGACAAGAACAAATAGTGTCCAGGATTCACCTAGCCAGCCCCATCTGCTGCGAAATATAGCCTGCCCCCCATTCCTCCCCCTCTCCATGCCCCCTTGAACCCCTGGAATCTGGCTGTGGGGCACTGGGAAGGATCCTCTTCAGAATAGGACATGAGGAGGAGAAAGGGGATCCTTCCATCTGGGAAACTGGAATCCCTGCGTAGGCAGGATGACTTGAAAACCACAAGGAAGAGAACCACCTATTTGCACAAAGATGAATACCCATAATTAAAAGCTGAATAAAATAATTCAATTAAAATGTCAAAATAGGCATCCATAATAGAAATGTGCAGCAAAGCAATCCTATTGAAACAACGCAGCAATTAAGAGGAAGGAAACAACAGAGCATTGTGTAGCAGATCATATTTCTGCTGTCTCAGAGGAGGACATTTCCCTTTTTCTTTTAGGGTTCAGTGTGCTTTGAAGATGTTGCTGTTCGTTTCACGGATGAGGAGTGGACGTTGCTGGATCCTGACCAGAGAGCTCTGCATAAGGACGTCATGGAGGAGAATCGTGGGATCGTGGCCTCTCTTGGTAAGGCTCCCTGTGGGATCGTCCTATCTGCCTGGAAATTCAAAAAATACCTCTATGTGATTTCCACAGAGCTCAGCAGCACCCCCCACAACACCTGGGAACCTAACACCCCCACAATAAACCTTGAACAGCAAATTCCAGTTTTTTCTGTGAACAATCTTCCTCCAGTTCTGCCTTTTTATATCACGATTCGGCTGGTCTGAACTGCCCAGGCATCTTAAATGTCAGCTTCAGAGTTGTTAGGAAAGATAAGTTGCTTCTGTCAGGTTTTCTGTTTTTGTTTTCTTGGGTTGACCAAAGAGAAGCCTCACATTGGAGATGGAGGGGATGCCATGACTGGGCCAAACAAAATCCATCCCAGAAGAGCCAAGCTTATTAAATCTCAGGTAGTGGTAGCAGTGATAGTAATACTAATAATTTTTATTTATACCCTGCCCATCTGGCTGGGTTGCCCCAGCCACTCTGGGTGGCTTCCAACACATATATACACATGAAACATTAATAATAACAATCTGATCCCATATAAAAAGTACATTAACTTTAAAATAAACAACATATAGTAGTGGCCAAAATTGTGGAAATCTCTTGCAAAAAGTATATTTCCGAGGTTTGATGGCTCAGAACACCATTTTGTTTGGGAGTAATACCATAAAATTATATATCAATGGAAATATAATTTAATGAAGAATGCAATGCAATAACTTTTATGAAAGTGTATGTATTAGAACAGCAGCCATAAATACGAAACATGAAAGACATAGAAAAAATGAGATCTACAGAAATTCTCACCATGTCAATTAATACTTAGTTTGTTAACCTTTAGCTTTAATTCTGGCCTTACAACGCCTTCCCATGGAGTGAACCAAGTTTTTTCATTCAGCAGCTGTAATAATGTGAAACCAAGATGGAATTGTTGCCTCTATTAATTGGGCTTTATTGCTGGGTTGCTTCTTACTAACTAAATATTTATATAAATATATATAAACACTTCATTATGTGAGAAAAGATCAAATGTAGAACACTTCAGTTTGGGCTCAAGTATTTCATTTATGCACTTTTGGTCATTTACATTCCCATTAATGATGCAAATTCTGCCCACACCTTTTTCTGTCATACAACCCCAGATCATCACACTATCTATGGGAACAACCCTTCAGGCTCTGTCCAGTACGACACTTCGGCTCCCACCCTGGGGTGAGAGCATGCATTAGCAGAGTTTAGCGATATCCAACTGTGCAGGATTGTAGCATCGAGAATTTTATTTACAGCAGAGAAAACATAGAAACAGGGCCATCTCCTCTAAGTCAAAAGAGAAGGACAAAGAGAGGAAGTAAAATCATCCTAAGTTCCGTTCCCATACACCCAGCAGCAAGGAATGTAAATATAGGATCATAGGACCCTGCAATGGGAGAATGAAAATAAAAATACTAACACCCAACTGGGTGTTTCACGGTCGATGTAATGCAAGTAGGATGTAAATCTTCTCCCATTCTCCTCCTCATGCATTTCATGTCATCACTACCAAGCAAGGAGATTTGGGTCTCATCACTCCAAATAACACTTTCCCATTCTTCTGCTGTCCAGTGACCATGGGTTTTAGCCCAGTTTAATCTTTCCAACCTTGGCTTGAGAGATAACAATGGCTTTTTCCTTAGAATTCTAGCATTTAAACCAGTCCTTGTGCTCAACTTCACATTACATTGCACCATGTCATCTTGAAGACACCCAGATAGAATCATAGAATCATAGAGTTGGAAGAGACCACAAGGGCCATCGAGTCCAACCCCCGGCCAAGCAGGAAACACCATCAGAGCACTCCTGACATATGGTTGTCAAGCCTCTGCTTAAAGATGATTTTCTTCTGTCACGTAGGCACAGTCTCTCCATTCTTCGATTGTCACTTGCTGTTGTGCACCTTTCCCTGCCTTTACCTGTCTGATTTTATAGTGACTGATGCTCCTTATACCTCTTCAAAAATGTAGAAAGGCCAGCTTTGGTTGTTTCCCCCAATCTTCTAATTTCTTCATAACCGTAGTCTTGTTCACTTACTAGTACTATTTTACATCGCTATCTGGGTGACAAGTCAACACTTTGTGCCATTTCTTTAATTTTATTATGTTTTACACACTCACTAAATAAAAGAACACACACAAAAAACCAACTAACATGATAGCAATCACATAACACACTGAAAAAAGTCAACCTAACCAAGTTGTGCTTCCTTTTTCTGCTTATTTGGCTATAATTTTTGATAGAATACAGATAATTGAACAAACATTTGTGCTATATGTTCATAACTAGAGGTACCAGATGTCAAAGAGATAAATAATTACCTGACATTCAGAAGACATCTGAAGGCAGCCCTGTTCAGGGAAGTTTTTAATATGTAACACTGTACTGTTTTTAACACTGATTGGGAGCCGCCCAGAGTGGCTGGGGAAACTCAGCCAGATGGGCGGGGTATAAATAATAAATTATTATTATTATTATTATTATTATTATACCACTGTAGATCAAACAAAGCCACATTTAACAACCCATGTGAATCTAAAAATAAATATGTTGGTTACTGACAAACAAAAAAAGGTATTGAACACACACCCAACCCCCTTCAGTTCTTCTCCATTTCTTCCTGAGGCTCTAATCCCTTTTTGTGTCCATTGCAGATTGTGATGAATTGGAAATCGAGAACAAGGGTGACCACAACAAAATCCTCATAAAGGAGAAGCCACATCAAAATTTGGAGTGTGGAGACAGCTGCAGTCAGAGCTCTCATTCCACTTCCCAACAAATAATTCACAGAGAGAAACCCTATCAGTGTGTGGAATGTGGAAAGAGCTTCAGGAGGAGCTCCCATCTCACTTCCCATCAAAGAATTCATACAAGTGAGAAACCCTATCAGTGTGTGGAATGTGGAAAAAGCTTCAGTCACAGCGACATTCTCACTAAGCATCAGAGAATTCATACAGGAGAAAAACCCTATCAGTGCATGGAATGTGGAAAGAACTTCAGGAGGAGCTCCCATCTCATTTCCCATCAAAAAATTCATACAGGGGAGAAACCCTATCAGTGTGTGGAATGTGGAAAGAGCTTCAGTCATAGCCACAGTCTCAGTTTTCACCAAAGAATTCATACAGGTGAGAAACCCTATCAGTGTGTGGAATGTGGAAAGAGCTTCAGGAAGAGCTCCGATCTCACTTACCATCAAAGAATTCATGCAGGGGAGAAACCCTATCAGTGCATGGAATGTGGAAAGAGCTTCAGTCAGAGCTCCCATCTCACTGCGCATCAAAGAATTCATACAGGGGAGAAACCACATCAGTGTGTGGAATGTGGAAAGAGCTTCAGTCACAGCCACAGTCTCACTTTCCATCAAAGAATTCATACAGGAGAGAAACCCTATCAGTGTATGGAATGTGGAAAGAGCTTCAATAAGAACTCCAATCTCACTTCCCATCAAATAATTCATACAGGGGAGAAACCCTATCAGTGTGTGGAATGTGGAAAGAGCTTCAGGAAGAACTTCACTCTTACCTCCCATCAAAGAATTCATACAGGGGAGAAACCCTATCAATGTGTGGAATGTGGAAAGAGCTTCAGTCAGAGTTCCCATCTCACTAGGCATCAGAGAATTCATACATAGTTCGGAAAAACCTTTCAGTATAGCTTTAGACATCAGGCAAATATGCACCTTCTTAACCTTGCCTCTGGCTGATTGACATCATTGTCCTTTTAAAATGTTGGGAGGGGGGTTACAGATGTGTATTTTTTGTTTTTATATTGTCTTTTATGTTGTAACCAACCTTAGACCTGGGGGTGTAGGGAATAGAAGCCAACTCTTAGAGGCCGAGGGTTCTTTGCCCCCCCAATAAAATATTTGAGGGGGCACCCACCCAGTTGATAGGCATTGCCATGCCAATGGCACGCATGCATCATGTGATTGATTGTGCAAGGCAGGCCTTACCTGATCCTCCCACCATTATTTCATTTAAGTCGGCACTACTGGGTAGGGTGGTATACAAATTAAATACATGTATCGCCTTCCTTTGCACATGTTCCAGCACATGTTCCTTATTTATTATCATTTTTTAAATTTATGTGCCCTTCGTCTGAAGTTTCACAATATAAACATACAGGATGAAAGCATGGCTTTCTCAAAAACAAGTAAAGCCAGAGAAATCTCTCCTCCCCTTCTTTTGGATGGAGTTAAAATCTTTGTTGATCAGGGGACAGCTGTGGAAATAGTGCATCTTGATTTCAATAAGGCTTTTGACAAAGTCCCCTGTGATATTTATGTGAGGAAGCTGGTAAAATGTCGGCTGAACAAGGTAACTGTTAGGTGGATTTTGCTGACGTAACCTGAACAGTACTCCTTCATGGTTCCTCACCTTCCTGGCGAAAAGTGACAAGTGGGGTGCTGCAACACGTACCTGGTGCCGGTGGACTTGACCCAATCCTGTCAGCAGTTGCTGGTGGATGAGGCCACCATTGAGGCACAGACGATTGTAAAGCACAGGGGCACGTTCCGGGTCAAGCGACAGCAATTCGGCATCAACGTGGCACTAGGCATATTCCAGAATCTAATGGACTCTCTCCTCAAAGGGGTTCCCGGTGTCACTCCCTTCTTCAATGATGTGTTGATTGCTGGGCCCATGCCGGAGGAGTTCAGGGTCTGCCTCTGCACCGTCCTGCGCTGTTTCCAGACTGCTGGGCTCAAGATGAAGCGGGAAAAGTGTTGACTAGGAGTGCCCCAGGTGGACTTGGATTTACGATGGATGCAGACGGGGTCCACCCGACCGGGAACAAGGTGCAGGCCATTTGCGACACCCTGGCACCTAAGGGTAAGGCCGAACTCCAGGCCGCCTTGGGACTATTGAACTTTTACCACGCCTTCCCTCCTCATAAGGCGGTGGTAGCGGAACCCCTACACAGGCTCCTAGACGAGCAGCCCTCGTGGGTGTGGGGGCAGCGCCAGGAGGCCAGATTCCAGGCAGTCAAGGACTTGCTCATCTTGAACTCGGTCCTGGCGCACTTTGACGAGAGGCTGGTGGTGGTGCTGGCATGCAACGTCTCACCCTATGGCATTGGCGCCATCCTGGGGCACCAACTTTCAGATGGGAGAGAAGTGCTGGTGGCGTACTTTTCCCAGATCCTCACCGCAGCTGAGCAGAACTCGCAAATTGACAAGGAGGGTCTCGCAATTGTGAAGGGAGTAAATTGTTTTCATGATTTCTTGCGTGGGCGCCCTTTATTGTGGTGACTGACCACAAGCCGCTGCTCAGCCTGTTCGTCCCTGAGAAGCAGACCCCCCCCCCCAGTACTGCCCCCCGCATTGATTTTCCTTGCCGGCTACCAGTATGCACTGTTCTACCGGCCCGGGAAGGTGATGGGCTACGTGGATGCCCTCAGCCGGCTACCACTACCATAGACCAGCCCCAACCCAGTGCCCGCGCAAGAGGTCATGAACCTGAAGCTGCTTCCCAATTGCCCCAATCAGGTGCCGGAACTAGCGTGCCACTCCAAGAAAGATAGGGTCATCTCCCAGGTCCTGGACTGGGTGTGGCAGGGATGGCCCAGTAACAGCCGAGGTCCGGATTTGTGGTCTACACGACCCACAAACACAAACTGTTGGCCCATAAGGGATGCCTGTTATGTGGGAGGAGGGTGGTAGTTCCCCAGCCACTCCGCCAAAGGTTCCTCACAGCCATACGCGAGAGACACCCAGGGTTAGTGAGAATGAAGGCCCTTGCCAGGAGTTACGTGTAGTGGCGCGGGCTCAACGGACAGATAGAGGCCTGGGTTAAATACTGCCAGACCTGCCAGAGTCCCACCTGGATCCCCTGAGGGCCCCCATCCAGTCCTGGGAGTCCACCCAAGAGCCATGGTCCTGCCTGCACATGTACTTCGCTGGCCCCTTCCAGGGAAAAACATCCTTTGTAGTGGTGGACTCCAACACCAAATGACTGGAGGTAACCCTGGAATGGTTTCATCCAGACTTTCACAGTGCAAAATGCCACCCGCCACGTCTGCCTGCCACCGTTCCACCCAGCCACCAACAGCAAAGCAGAGCGCACAGTGCAGAGCACCAAAGATACCCAAGACCACCGAGAGCCAGTGTGGTGTAGTGATTAAGAGCAGTAGACTCGTGATCTGGGGAACATGGTTCGTGTCTCCGCTCCTCCACATGCAGCTGCTGGGTGACCTTGGACTAGTCACACTTCTCTGAAGTCTCGCAGCCCCACTCACCTCACAGAGTGTTTGTTGTGGGGGAGGAAGGGAAAGGAGAACGTTAGCCGCTGGGAGACTCCTTCGGGTAGTGATAAAGCGGGATATCAAATCCAAACTCCTCTTCATCTTCTTCTTCTCTGCCGCATGACGCAAGGGGGCTGGGAGTACCACCTCACCACATTCCTTCTAGCTCAGGACACTAACCCCAGCACAACAACCGGCCAGAGCGGAACGATTAAAGGCTGGCGCCTCACAACAAGACTTGACCACCTTCACCCCAACAGAGCTCAGGACGAGGCAGCGGCGAGGGGAAGCATGGACCCCTGGACCCAGTGTACACCAAGAATTTCAGGGCAGGCCCGGCATGGGTAACTGCCACAGTCACCAGGGCGACTTGCCCCATGTATTATGAGGTGCTAACGCGGGGGTGGGCAATGCTGACACCACCACTGTGGTGAGCTACAGCGACCGTTCCTGGGAGAAAACCGGGAGGAGGGCCGGACAGAAGGGTTCCAAGGGGGCAGCTGGATGGCGAGGCACGTAGAGCAGGAGGAGTGGGCAGGGGAGGCAGAACCACTATGCACAGAGATGACCCCCGAGGCTGAGCAGCCACAGGAACCAGAGTTACGACTGAGTGGGCCGTCTGTGCCAGACCAAATGGCCCTGAGCATCCAGCAGCCACGGAACATGAGCCAGAACCAGAACCCCCAACCGAGAAACACCCCAGGCATCAACTTAGACGTAGGCAGCCAGCGTACATGGAGGACAATGAATGCAAACCTCCTGTATGTACTGAGCTGGGATCCTAGAACAAAATGCAGGTAGGATCCAGAAGGCAGCAACCTGATGGGCCTGTAGGAACAGTCCATTCAGGCTCTAGGAGGGGACTTGAATCAGCCAATTACGTGGGACCTATTGTATAAATAATGTATATATAGCCAGAGGTTTGGGGGGAAATTCATTCACTGTATACTAGGAGCTGAAATAAAGAGCATGAAATCAATACTCCGAGTATATTTCACCCTTTGGGGTGGAGCTCAAGCAGTGGGGAGATTGCAAGGCCTGCCGGGGCAGTTGGTTGCTGGGACGGACAGCATAGCCAGAGGAGAGTCTGGAGTGTAAAAGGTAAAGGGAGCCCTGACTGTAAGGTCCAGTCGTGGACGGCTCTGGGGTTGCGGTGCTCATCTCGCTCTATAGGCCAAGGGAGCCGGCGTACAGCTTCCGGGTCATGTGGCCAGCAGGACTAAGCCGCTTCTGGCGAACCAGAGCAGCGCACGGAAACGCCGTTTACCATCCCGCTGGAGCGATGCCTATTTATCTACTTGAACTTTGATGTGCTTTCAAACTGCTATGTTGGCAGGAGCAGGGACTGAGCAACGGGAGCTCACCCCGTCGTGGGGGTTCAAACCACCAAACTTCTGCTCGGCTCTGTGGTTTAGACTACAGTGCCACCTGTGTCCCTCAGTCTGGGGTGTAAAGGTAAAGGCAACCCGTGTCCCTCACAACTCCACCAGAGGGCCAGGGCCTCTCTCTGATTGGCTACCCTACAAGAGAGGGATGGAGGGAAAATAAAGAGGGCCATTTCTGAGGGGATTTTTAGAAAGGGCTGGATTTGAGATGGGAGAGAGGGATGATGGAGAAAAGATGGGGATGAGGGGAGGGAGGGAGGGAGAGAGAAGTGGCTCTGATCTGAGTGGATCATCCGCTCTGAGGAGAATATCTATGGAGCCAGAGGAAGGAGCCTCACAGCTGAGAAGGGGAGACCATGTTGAGGGTCTGAAGGGAGTATTCAGATGGGAGTGAAGCTGGAGGGAGAAGCTGTGGGAAGACTCTCCTCTTCTTCTGCGGTCTCCTTCCAGTCAGGAGGAGAGAGATCTTGTAGGAAAAGGAGATTCCCGAGTCCGTGGCAAGGGCTGAGAGGATCCCCTGGGTCTGGCATACAAGGGAAAATACCTCAGGAGTGGGATTGCTAAGAGAGAGGGGAACCGAGGAAAAGTGGCCCCTCGCTGTGAAGGAAGCTGGGCTGTGTCAAAAGTACATCACGGAAAGACCTCTCATAACTAAGTGAGGGGATGAGAGAGAAGCCGCAGAAAGAGAGTTCAGCCTTTCACCACCTATTCTGGAAACCTGAACATCTCCCTGAAGTGCAGCAACTGAATTGGAGGGAAGCTGTGCCTGCAGAACCGTGTTTAATCCTGAGACCTTCAGGTCAACCATCTGCTTTCCCGTGTGTGAGAGGACCTTTTCTGGCTCCCGATGAATTCTACCTGCTTTTGGGCGGGACGGGCGTGTCTCCTGATTGGGCAGGCGACTGTGGAATGCGGCAAGCTCGGCTGCCTATTGGCTGGGAGGGCGAGGAGGCGGCTGCTTCCGCTGATCCGGCAGTTGAGAGGCAGCTTGGGCCAAAGCGCGCCGAAGTAGCCCGAGAGATGCGGCCAATCCTCCCGCCGGCCTGTGTCTCCGCTGGCAGGCTGCCCTGAGGAAGGCGAGCTGCTCCTCCTCCTCCTCCTCCTCCTCCTCCGGGCTCGCCGAGGCGGGGCAGCCGCGGGGAAGGAAGCCAGCAGCGCGGCCGCCTCGAGCCCTTCAAGGCCACGACTGCGCCAAGATGGGGCTGCAGGCCAAGGCAGGGAGGCGCTCAGGGCCCAGCCGAGAGGGGAGCCGGGCAGGGGCCTCGCCAGGGGGGCAGCTGGCCCTCTACAGCCATCGCAAATAACAGAAACTAATGGAAATCTGCCTGGCTACAGGCGTGGGTGGACTCGGCATTGCAAGGGTTAAAGGGAACCGAGCTGCCTTCCTAGAGAGGCCAGGAATCAAGGGGGGGCCAGGTCCTCCAGAGCCAAGCCCCCCCCCTCCCCAGTCCTTTCCTGCTTGGGTGTCTCTCCTGCAAGGGCTGCCTCGCTGTCCCTCCTGGGATCTGGTGAGTCTCCTCTCTCTCTGGGATCTGGTGGGGGTCCCAGGGCTGCAGCAGGGGAGGAGGCCTGGGGGGCCCTGATCTGCTCCTGCAGGGAGGGGGGCTGATCAGGGAGTAGAGTGTCCTGCCAGGGAGGGGCCAGGACTGCAGCACTCTCCTTCCTGCAGATCTTAGGATCCCAAACTCATTTGGCCTTCCGCCCCCCCCCCCTCCAGAAAAACAATGACTCCCATGAAACCTCCTTTAAACAAAGGAGTCCCTGGGACTTTAACTCTCTGTGACGTCTGTCAGCATCAGTGCACAACAGAGGGAACAGGTGCAAGTGGTTTTCCAAAGCTGGACGAGGAGGTGGACTAGACACCCCACCCCCCCAAAAAAAACCACGGGAAGGAAGGAAGAAAAGTTGGGAAAGAGAGGCCAGGAATAAAGAGAGGGATCCCAGCCCAGAGTCTGGCTGCTGCATTGGGGACCAGTTTCCCAGTCGTCTCCCAGGGCAGCTCCCCACGGAGGTCACTGCAGCAGTCCCCTCGCACCCAGAGCAGGGCATCCCAGGACCACATCCTCTCTGTCCCAAAGGGGTTGTTGCTGGCAAAGCAGCCGGAAATGGGCGCTGCTACTCCCTGAGCCTCCAGGGACCTGGGCATCAATGGCTGTGCGTGTGTTCAGCCATCTAAGAGAATAATAATAATAAATTAGCTGCCTAAATTTCAAAGGAGATGTATTTGGCCCCACCCACTTGGCCCTCAGGGGGTTGACTAGATACATACCTGGCCCTCAGAGCAAAGAAAAAGGGACCCCACCCCAGGAGTCTGTCTTGAGAGCGGCAGAGAGTCCAAGTGCAAGAAAAGGAGACAGAAGCAGGGGGGAAATGTGCCCAGAAGTGGGGGTGGGGGGAGAGCAACTCCTGAGGACCCCCGGATGAGGACCCCCACTAGAGCCAAGCATCTATTTTTCAAATGACTCCCTTGTCAGTCAGTTCTGATTTCATGCATTGACTGGAAGGCAGGAGCAACCAGGCTGATTCATCTCCCAGAAATCCCTTCAGTTGCCTCCACATTTTGCATTCCTCCTTCTCTTTCTTTTCAAAAAGGTATCTCACGGTTTGGGCTCTGGTACCGTCCAGTCCTGATTCCTGGCAAGACTCATCCATGCTTGTTCAGGGATCTTGTTTCTTCTCCTGACCTACAATTTCTGTAACAGAACAATGTATTTGCTTTCTAGGATTTGCTAGAGCTTCTCATTAAGACAGACAAAACTTGGCAGAAGATCAAAGGGTGCCCAGAGGGGACAAACTTAGAAAGGGAGTGAAGGTGGGTGATCTTCTCTAACACAGGTGCTGGCAGTGGGTTTTCCTCCTCCTTGTTCTTCTGCATTCCAAGTCCTGCTGACAGGTTATGAAAGATGACAACATGAAAGAGGTTAAAATGGAGAACCATGAAAAAGGAGCCAGGTTTCCTTGAGGTCTGAGGCTGGTGAGGGTGGACAGACTCTTGCTTTGAGGACGATCTCATGTCTCCTGACCAAACTGCAGTCTATGCAGATATGGAGTCTATGAATGAGGAAGCTAACAAGAACCCAGAGCTGAAGAGCTCTGAGCTGAGGGAGCCACTCCAGGCAGCAGTGCAGACAGCCAAAGAGCAAGATACCCAGTGTGTTGTGAAGAGGACTCCCCTGTGTGAGTGCCTGAGGGCCCTGCTCCCGCCGCTCACCACCTGGCCAAGGGCGGGGCCTCACTAGGATAGTTGCTGTTACTGCTGGAGGGGCACAGAGTGTTTTTAAAAATGTTTTTAAAAATTTCTTTTGAATTTTTTGTATGTGGGGGGGTGGGATGGATGTTTGGTTGGGCTTCGGAATTTGTTTGATTTTGATGTTTTTTGTAATTTTTACAGTTTTTTTTGTTTGTATTGTTTTATTGCTGTTTTTTTTAAGGTGTTATTTTGTTCTTAAGGGGAGGGGTCAGGGCTGCCGGGGAGTGGGTCCCAGCCCACAAAATGGCTGGGGCATGTTCCACGGGGGGGGGGGGGATGCACTGGGACAACCGATCTCAGTGATCACGGGTAGGAGGAGGAGTTACGCTAAGACGAGACCATGTTGTTACAGAGGAGGCAGGTTTAGTCGTTGTTTGAGGACTATCCCTGCCTCCGGGTCTGGTCCTGACCGGATGGATACTAGAATCAGCAAGGGATACCCACATGACCTGAAGGTGCTGCTGTGCAATGCCAGGTCAATGATTCATAAGACCACTGCCATCCATGACTTGATCATGGATGGAGGACTTGACCTGGCATGTGTAACAGAGACTTGGTTGGATGAAGCAGATGGGCCTGTCCTTGCCGCTGCTTGTCCACCAGGTTTCTCTTACACACAGCAACCCAGGTCATGTGGGCGGGGAGGGGGGGTTGCAGTGATTTTTAGGAAGTCATTAGTTTGCACCAGGCGCCCTATTGGGAAGACCCAGTTCTCCGAGTGCATGTTCTGGAAGTTGGGCAATAGGGGCAGTACAGGATTCCTTTTGGTGTACCGACCTCCCCGCTGCACCAAGGATTCCCTGCCCGAGCTGCTTCAGGTTGTGGCGGATGTTCTCCTGGAGACACCTAGTTTGGTCTTCCTAGGGGATTTTAACATCCATGCTGACACGACCTTAGAAGAATCATAGAATCACTTGAGTTGGCACCAGATTGACCACTATGGCCATGGAGTCCAAGGCCTCTGGTTCTTCAAGCAGGATACACCATCAGAGCACCTTCTCATTCATTATAGATCATCTCCCAGAGCCTCAATGCTTAGGCACGTCCACCAAAGGTGAAAGAATGTACCTTCAGCTCCTTTACATGTCCAACATTCCACTGTCGGCAAATGATAGACTCTTAAGCTTGACTAGGGTCATGTTCCACCTGTATATCATTTAGGTGGAATCTTCTTTCTTGTGGCATTGCATCCGAACTTGCTACCTGTGATCCATAACTGTCTCTGCAGTCAGCACATCAACTATGTTATGTCCAACCTCTTGTGACATCCTTTGTATATCTTTGAGACATGGCTGGATGAAGCAGATGAGCCTGTTACCTGCCGCTGCTTGTCCACCAGGTTCTCTTATGCACATGCAACCCAGGTCCTGTGGGCAGGGCGGTTGCACTGATTTTAGGAGTCATTGTTTGCACCAGGCCTCTGACCATTTGGGTTGACCCAGTCCTCTGGAGTCACGTTCGGCAGTTGGTGCAGTACAGGATCCTTCTTGGTAACCGTGGCTGCCCGCTGCACTGGACCTACCGAGCTACTCCAGGTCGTGACGGATGTTCTCCGGAGCCACCGAGCTTAGTAGTACTAGTGGCACTTTAACATCCATGCCGACACGACCTTACAAGAGGCCACTCGGAACTTTGTGGAAAGCATGGCCTCCATGGGGCTGTCCCTGAATAAGTCTGGCCCAACCCATAGCCCCGGACATGCCTTGGACCTGGTGTTTACCTCTATGGATGTTGGTGATCTGACACTAAGTAAAAGCGAAACGAAAGAAGTGCCATGGTCAGATCACTTCCTGGTGCAACTGGACTTCTCCGTGACCCATCCCCTCTGCAGGGAGGTGGGACCAATTTGGATGGTCCGCCCCCGCCACTTAATGGATCCAAATGGTTTCCAGAGAGTGGTAGGGGATGCTTTATCCCATGTTGATGGCCTTTCAGCTGATTCCCTGGTGGCCCGCTGGAATGTGGAGTTAACCAGGGCTATTGACTGCTTGGCTCTGAAGCGCCTTCTCCGATTGCATGGAGCCCGGACAGCCCCGTGGTTTTCCACGGATCTGAGGGCAATGAAACAATCGTTGAGACGGCTAGAGCGCCGGTGGCGGATAACCCATTCTGAAGCTGACTGGATACGGGTTAGAGCTCAATGTCGAGCCTACCAAGTGGCGGTAGCGACGGCGAAGAAGACTTTCTTCACCGCCTCTATTGCATCTGCAGAAAACAGCAGCAGGAGACTTTTTCAGGTGGTTCACAATTTAGCGGAACCACCTGCGACATCTGCGCCCAGTACGGTCCACATGATCTCCTACAATGATTTTGCAAAGTTTTTTGCAGATAAAATCGCTCAGATTCGGGAAGAAGTAGACTCCACCGTGGGAGCAGGGCCGGGGCGGGAGAGTGCTAGAGTCCTGTCTAGTCAAATTGTGTGGGATCAATTCCAATCTGTTACCTCCGAGGATGTGGACAGGCTGCTTGGACGAGTGAAACCAACCACCTGTCTCCTGGATCCTTGCCCATCCTGGCTTATAAAAGCTAGCCGGGAAGGACTGGGCGATGGGCTTCGTGGGGTGGTGAATGCTTCCCTCCGTGAAGGAGCCTTCCCAGACGCGCTGAAAGAGGTGGTTATTAAACCGCTTCTTAAAAACCATCTTTAGATGCGGCCACGATGGCCAACTATCGCCCAGTCTCAAATCTTCCATTCTTGGGCAAGGTGATTGAGCGAGTGGTTGCTGAACAACTCCAGGCACGCCTGGAAGAAGCGGACCATTTGGATCCCTTCCAGTCGGGATTCAGGCCTCATCATGGGACTGAAACTGCCTTGGTCGCACTGGTTGATGATCTCCGGCGGGCTAGGGACAAAGGTGAGAGCTGTTTCCTAGTTCTGCTGGATCTCTCAGCGGCGTTTGATACCATCAACCATAACATCCTTCTGGACCGTCTTGAGGGGCTGGGAGCTGGGGGCACTGTCATACAGTGGTTCTGCTCCTTCCTCCTGGGCCGTGTTCAGAGAGTGGTGTTGGGGGATGCGTGTTCAGACCCCTGGGCTCTCACATGTGGGGTGCCTCAGTGTTCTGTCCTCTCCCCCATGCTTTTCAACATCTCTATGAAGCCGCTGGGAGAGATCATAAGGAGGTTTGGGCTGGGTGCTCATCAGTATGCGGATGATAACCAGCTCTACGTCTCTTTTAAATCAGAACCAGTGAAGGCGGTGAAGGTCCTGTGTGAGTGTCTGGAGGTGGTTGGAGGATGGATGGCGGCTAACAGATTGAGATTGAATCCTGACAAGACAGAAGTACTGTTTTGGGGGGGACAGAAGGCGGGCAGGTGTGGAGGATTCCCTGGTCCTGAATGGGGTAACAGTGCCCCTGGAGGACCAGGTGCGCAGCCTGGGAGTCATTTTGGACTCACAGCTGTCCATGGAGGCACAGGTTAAATCCGTATCCAGGGCAGCTGTGTACCAGCTCCATCTGGTACGTAGGCTGAGACCCTATCTGTCTACGGACTTTCTCGCCAGAGTGGTGCATGCTCTGGTTATCTCCCGCTTGGACTACTGCAATGCGCTGTACATGGGGCTACCTTTGAAGGTGACCCGGAAACTACAACTAATTCAGAATGCGGCAGCTAAACTGGTGACTGGGAGTGGCCGCCAAGACCATATAACACCCGTCTTGAAAGACCTACCATTGGCTCCCAGTACGTTTCCGAGCACAATTCAAAGTGTTGGTGCTGACCTTTAAAGCCCTAAATGGCCTCGGTCCAGTATATCTGAAGGAGAGTCTCCACCCCCATCGTTCTACCCGGACACTGAAGTCCAGCACTGAGGGCCTTCTGGCGGTTCCCTCCCTGCAAGAAGCCGAGTTACAGGGAACCAGGCAGAGGGCCTTCTCGGTCTTTGTGCCCTCCCTGTGGAACGCCCTCCCACCAGATGTCAAAGAGAACAACAACTATCAGACTTTTAGAAGACATCTGAAGGCAGTCCTGTTCAGGGAAACTTTTAATGTTTGATGTATTATGGTATTTTAATATTTTTTTGAAGCCGCCCAGAGTGGCTGGGGAGGCCCAGCCAGATGGGCGGGGTATAAATAATAAATTATTATTATTATTATTATTATTATTATTATTATCATCATCATCATCAAAGGGTTCCTTCCGATCTCTTAAAGGCTTCCTGAGAGCACAGATGGATGAGCAAGACCCAGCTGGCCCTGAAGCAGGAAGAGGCCATGCCAACCAAACTGGGAGCAGTGGGGGATTCTGGGAAAACGCTGTGCTGAAGATCCTGGGTGAGGAGGACACCCTCCACTCAGAGGTGCAGAGCCAACTGTTGAGGCAGTTCTGCTGCCAGGAGGCCAAGGGACCCCGAGAGGTTTGCAGCCGATTCTACCACCTTGACCGTCAGTGGCTGAAGCCAGAAAGGCACACGAAAGCTGAGATGCTGGACCTGGTGATCTTGGAGCAGTTCCTGGCTGTCCTTCCACTGGAGATGGAGAGCTGGGTGAGGGACTGTGGAGCGGAGACCAGTTCCCAGGCGGTGGCCCTGGCCGAAGGTTTCCTCCTGAGTCAGGCAGAGGAGAGGAAGCAGGCAGAGAGAAAGCAGGTGAGAGAGACTTTCCTCTGGATACTACCTTGACCAGAGCCAGGGCCTTTTTGGATGTGGCTGTGTCCTGGTGGAACGCTCTCTCACAAGAGACCAGGGCACTGCGGGATTTGACATGTGCCACGCCTTTGTTCAGGGTTCAGTCTGATTCTTTTCTTTCAGTACAAGAATAAGCACTAAAGAGGCTTCCTAGCCCACTCACACCTCCTTTATAAGACCAGTGGTAACAGTAGTTGGCCCTAGCGAATATTAACCACTCTCAATTTTACCAGTGGACTGCCGTCTGTCCAGATTTTAATTTGTTTTGAACTAATTTTAAGAAGTATTTTAATTTTCTTTTTTTTATAATGATATTTATTGGAATTTCACATGAAAAAACATCTTAATAAAAAAGAAATTTAAAAATAAAGAGAAAAAAACACCATACAAGATACAAAAAGAAAAAAGAAAGAACAGTTAAAAACAATTCCGTCTTTTCATCACAACTTTTACATTTACTTATTTCCCGGACCTCCTCATACCTCTCTCTTTTCTATTCCGATTTAATTTGTTTGTCCAGCAATTCCTTTTCCTCCTTTTTAATCCCATCCTTAATCTTAATATAATATAACATTGAATTTTAATCTATTAAAAACCAATTTTCCATTTCTTTTAACTTTTTTAGTCCTAATCCTTAATCTTAATCTATCTTTAACTTTAAAGCCTGTACAGCTAGAAGCCACTTAATTTCAGTCCAACATCACTCTAACATTCTTTAATTTTGCAATATTTCTGTAAATAGTCTTTGAATTTCTTCCAATCTTCTTCCACCGATTCTTCTCCCTGGTCACGGATTCTGCCAGTCATTTCCGCCAATTCCATATAGTCCATCAGTTTCATCTGCCATTCCTCCAGTGTGGGTAGCTCTTGTGTCTTCCAGTACTTTGCGATAAGTATTCTTGCTGCTGTTGTAGCATACATAAAGAAAGTTCTATCCCTTTTTAACACCGATTGGCCGACTATGCCCAGGAGAAAGGCCTCTGGTTTCTTCAAGAAGGTATATTTAAATACCTTTTTTAATTCATTATATATCATCTCCCAGAAAGCCTTAATCTTTGGGCACGTCCACCAAAGGTGAAAAATGTACCTTCAGTTTCTTTACATTTCCAACATTTATTATCAGGCAAATGGTAGATTTTTGCAAGCTTGACTGGAGTTATGTACCACCTGTATATCATTTTCATAATATTCTCTCTTAGGGCATTACATGCTGTAAATTTCATACCTGTGGTCCATAACTGCTCCCAGTCAGCGAACATAATGTTGTGTCCAACGTCTTGTGCCCATTTAATCATACCAGATTTCACCGTTTCATCCTGAGTGTTCCATTTCAGCAGCAAGTTATACATTCTTGACAAATTCTTAGTTTTGGGTTCTAACAGTTCTGTTTCTAATTTTGATTTTTCCACCTGGAAGCCAATTTTCTTGTCCGAATTGAATGCCTCCATTATCTGAAAATAATGAAGCCAGTCTCACACTTTGTTTTTTAATTTTTTAAAACCCTGCAATTTCAGTCTATCTCCATCTTGTTCCAAAATTTCCCAATATTTTGGCCATTTGACCTCCATATTGAGCTTTTTCAAGGCTTTCGCTTCCATTGGTGACAGCCACCTTGGAGTTTTGTTTTCCAATAAATCCTTGTATCTTATCCAAACATTAAACAGTGCTTTCCTGACAATATGATTTTTAAATGCTTTATGTGCTTTGACCTTATCATACCACAGATATGCATGCCATCCAAATACATTGTTAAAACCTTCTAGGTCCAAAATGTCAGTGTTTTCAAGAAGCAGCCATTCTTTCAACCAGCAAAAGGCTGCTGATTCATAATAAAGTTTAAGGTCTGGCAGGGCAAATCCACCTCTTTCCTTTGCATCTGTTAGTATTTTAAATTTTATTCTGGGCTTCTTGCCCTGCCAGACAAATCTGGAAATATCTTTTAATTAATCGATTGCCTGTACTTATATTCTTTGTATACTGTGTTAGATTTATGATGTTAGCCGCCGAAAGATTGGCTCCGACCAGGGAGGGTGGGGTACAAATTAAAAATTATTATTATTATTATTAGTGGCTCGAAAGAGGATGGAGAACATCCCATAATGCTCTACTGATGGCCCATCCTTTTTCTGGGAAGGCATCCATGGAATGAGATCTCACACCATTAAAGTTTTTTACTTTTCCATTTTCTTTCTGCTATTTCTTGTCATTCATTTTCTGTTTTGAATCCTTGTTGCTCTTTCAGGAAAAGGATCGTTTTGAGGAAATGGACATGGATTCCTGTGAGGCAGAGAGGCCTCCGTTGGACACCAGAGAGAGGCCACTGGGTAAGGAGGAAGGTGGTTTTCTCCATTGGTCTCATTCTGTTGGTTTCCATAATCCTGGGTTCTTTCATCAAGTTTTTTTGGGGGAGTTGGGAGGAAGGGTCCAGAGGAGGGGAGATATATTTTTGCATAACTAACATATGAAATGGGCACAAACGTCCAAATGCACTCAGCAGGTAAGGCTTTCTGAAAGGCCTATCTGTAGTTAGAGATGCCCTGTTTCACCTGTGAGAGAAGCAGGCACTCCTGGCATCCTGCTTACGTTTTTTCTTTTGCAGGAGACAGAATGATGCCGGCAAAACCTCCTGGTCCATCTTTTCATGGGGGCAGAAGGGAAGCAGCGGCTGTGGGACCAGATCAGGTCAGAGGAAGCAGCCTTGTGGGGACAGAGGCCGAGGGATGGAGCAATGTCACGGACTGGTTGGGCACAGAGGAATGGTGGGAGGAAGCAGCCAGGGAACCAGGAAGGGAAGATTGCTCAGAGCGCAAGGAGTGAAGGTGGAGGAAGGATGAGCGGTCAGAGGGAGAAGCCTGGGAAGAGGAGGTGTCAGAAGCTGAAATGGTAACAGAGCTTAGTGAGCTGGGAGACTCTGGCAGAATGCAGTCCAGAATCGGAGGCAGAAGAGGAAGGAGGCAAGTGGGAGGAGGGAGGTCGAGAGTCAGAGCTGAGTCAGGAGAAGGAGGAGCCACTGGGGGCTCCCTCTCCTTCTGCCAGAAGCCACCCTCCCTGCTTGTCTCTCAGAGCCAGGAGATGTCTGACAATGGAGAAGCAAAGACAGGCTGCACACTGGCGCACTGTTGGATCACTTGCCAGAAACCCCAGAGAGGAGGGGACTTGGAAAGCTGTGGGGAGCTAGGGGCCTTCTCTTTTGGCAGCTGATTTCATGGAGGAAGACCCTGTCATGGAATTCTACTCAGTATTGATCCAGGCAGAACTCCAATGTATAGTTACCAGAGTGAAAATGTAAAGACGTTGCAGGATTCCCCAAAATAGACCAGAGGCAACTGTATTTCATCCAGCAGAGCTTTATTGCTACTGAAGACAAATGAGCATAATGGTCCCAAATCCAAAACATTCAGGATTGGCCCTGTCCATAAGAAATCCAGTTGCAGCAGACTTAACTGAAACTTACCACAAGTTATAATGTCTAAACCTTAACACTCAGCTTATTATGTACAGAACACCAGAAGGAAGAGAGAGAGAGAGAGACCCAGGCTCCTTCTGGCCTCTTCTTATAGTCAGCATGACCTTGACAGAAGACATAACAGAACCACTTTAACCCAGCTGTACTCAGGCTGCGTTGCCTGGGTCCTTGTGCCAAAGGCCAAGCTCAGAAAGGGTGGCCCTAGGTCCCAAAAGATGATTTTCTGTGGGTATGAGCCAGGGACCAAGGGGTGGAGATTTGCCTATCCAACAGGCAATCAGTCCAGGATTCTGCTCAGCAGCAGTGCTGAGTTCTGTGAGTAGAATGGATGGACACGCATACATGGGAACCCTGATGTTCTTTCAGAGAGTCTGCAAGACTCTGCTGATGAGGAAGAGGTAGAGGTTGAACCTGCTGCTGAGGCACAGAGTCCTGACCCAGAGCAGGTAGAGGGAAGAACTTCTCCTAAAGCTGTGAAGCTTGAACAGAGAAGTGCTCCTTCCTCACCCACAGGTTCAGCTGAGAAGTCTAAACGGCGCAGTAAGTCAGAGGGGGAGCTCTCTGAGGCCAAGGACGTTCTAGCTGGTCCTAGTGGGTCTGAGGGGGTACCTGAAACTGGGTTGAGACGTTCAGCTCGCACAACGAAAGGTAAACCTCCTGACAGGTTTGCAGTCACAAGTGTGTGGGTTGGCATGGCACAGTGTGAACCCGAGAATTTTGAGGATGTTCAGAAACTGCCTCAGGAAGAAGCCAGGAAATGGCATGAGGCAATGCAGAAGGAGATGAGCTCAATGGAGTCTCTAGGTGTGTTCTCCCTCACAACGTTGCCAGTGGGCAAACAGGCCGTGAGCAGCCGCTGGGTTTACCGTCTTAAACCCACAGCAGGAACCACAGGCTGGGCTCAGTAGCCAGAGGGTTCACACAGCAAAAGGGGCTGCATTATACTGAGGTATATGCTCCTACTTCCAGAAGTGAAACTCTGCACATGCTCTTAGCCATTGCTGCACAAAGAGGCTTTCAGGTGTATCACTTTGATGTGGATGTGGCCTATTTGAACTCAGACCTCCAGGAGGATCTGTACATGCTTCCTCCTCCAGCGTTTGAGGGCAATGAGCCAAATACTGTATGGAAGCTTCACAAGTCCATTTATGGCTTAAAGCACTCGAGCAGCTAAGTTTGAAACTTGTACCTGAATGAAGCCTTAGAGAAGCTAGGTTTCAAGAAGAGTCTTGCTGACAGCTGCCTGTACCTTAAAGGGTCAGGAGAGTCACATGAAATGGTGTTGATCTTTGTTGATGACATCATTCACATCTCAGGGGCAAACAAACAGGTGCAGAAGTTTGCCAAAGAGCTTGGGAAACGGTTTCAGCTCAAGAACCTGGGTGCAGTAAGGATCTACTTAGGTGTTCAGATAGACAGGACTGAAGATGGAAGCTTCTTGCTCAGTCAGAAAGGCAAGATTGAGCAGTTGATTGAGAAGTTCAGAATGTCTGATTGTGCAGGGGTTAGGGCACCTATGGACACGAGCTACGTGAAAGACAGTCAGCTAGCAGAATGCATTGAGAGCGAGAATGCTGAGCTCTTCCAGTCAGCTCTGGGTAGTCTGTTGTATCTGTCCCAATGGAGCAGGCCGGACATTGCTTTTGCTACCAATCTGCTCAGTAGGGAAGCATCAAAGCCCAGTGTAAATGCCTGGCATGGTATCAAGCGGGTGCTGCGTTACCTGCAGGATACCAAGGACTTCAGTCTCAAGCTGTCAGCTGCAGGTGAGACGGCGCTTACTTGCTGGGCAGATAGCGACGGGGCGAATCTGGATGACAGGAAGTCCGTATCTGGGATGGTAATAAAGTTTGGGGAATCTCTAGTTGGGTGGAAGTCCCAGAAGCAAAGTCTCATTGCGCTGTCCTCTACTGAGGCTGAGTTCATTGCACTGTCGGAATTGTGCAGGGAACTGGAGTTCTATAGATGCCTGGTGCAAGAGATCTATGGGGATTGTTGCCTGCCCATCACTGTTTGGGAAGACAATCAACCCTGTCTGAAGTTGGCAGAATCTGGGCAGTTTAAGGCCAGAACCAAGCATCTAGACATACGTTTCCAGAATGCGTGTCAAAGTGTCAATCCTATTGAAAGCAATCCTATCGAAACAACACAGCAATTAAGAGGAAGGAAAGAACAGAGCATTGTGTAGCAGATCATATTTCTGCTGTCTCAGAAGAGGACATTTCCTTTTTCTTTTAGGGTCCAGTGTGCTTTGAAGATGTCGCTGTTTGTTTCACGGACGAGGAGTGGGCATTGCTGGATCCTGACCAGAGAGCTCTGCATAAGGACGTCATGGAGGAGAATCGTGGGATCGTGGCCTCTCTTGGTAAGGCTCCCTGTGCGATCGTCCTATCTGCCTGGAAATTCAAAAAATACCTCTATGTAACAAACCTCATACATTTCCACAGAGCTCAACAGCGCCCAATACAACACCTGGGAACCTAACACTCCCACAATAAACCTTGAACAGCAAATTCCAGTTTTTTCTGTGAACCATCTTCCTCCAGTTCTGCCTTTTTATACCACGGTTGGGCTTGTCTGAACTGCCCAGGCATCTTAAATGTCAGCTTCAGTGTTGGTATCTGAAGAAGTGAGCATGCAACGAAAGCTCATACTAATAACAAACTCAGTTGGTCTCTAAGGTGCTAGTGGAAGGAATTTTTTTTATTTAGCTTCAGAGTTGTGCGGAAAGATAAGTAGCTTCTGTCAAGTTTTCTGTTTTTGTTTTTGCTGCTGTCAGTCTTGGGTTGACCAGAGAGACGACTGACATTGGAGATGGAGGAGATGCCATGACTGGGCCAAACAAAATCCATCCCAGAGAAGAGCCAGGCTTATTGAATCTCAGGTAGTAGTAGTAGCAGTGATAATAATAATAATAGTAATAATAATTTTTATTTATACTCTGCCCACCTGGCTGGGTTGCCCCAGCTGCTCTGGGCGGCTTCGAACACTTATATAAACCAGAAACATTCATCATAACAATCTGTCCCCATATAAAAAGTACATTAACTTTAAAATGAACAACTTACGCTAGTGGCCAAAATTGTGGAAACCTTTTGGAGAAAGTGTATTTCAGAGCTTTGATACCTCATAAACACCACTTTTTTGGGAGTAATAGCATAAAACTATATATCAATGGAAAAATAATTTAATGAAGAATGTAATGATTTTCTTCTGTCATGCAGGCACAGTTTCTCCATTCTTCGATCATCACTTGCTGTTGTGCACCTTTCCCTGCCTTTACCAGTCTGATTTTGGAGTGACTGAGTCTCTTATACCTCTTCAAAAATATAGACCAGCTTTGCTTAAGTTTCCACCAATCTTTCTTCTAATTTCTTCATACCTGTAGCCTTGTTCACTTAATAGTACGATTTTATATCTCTTTCTGGGTAACTACTCAACTCTTTGTACCATTTTTTAATTTTATTAAATTTTACAAACTCACCAAATGAAAGAACCAAGAAACCAACCAAATTGATAGCAATCACATAATACACTGACAAACGTCAACCTAAGCAAGTTGTGCTTCCCTTTTCTGGTCATATGTCTATAACCTTTGATAGAATACAGATAATTGAACAAACTTTGTTGCACTACATTCTTGATTAAATTATCTTTCCATTGCTATATAATATTATGGTATTACAGTCATACCTCGGGTTACAGTCACTTTAGGTTGCGTGTTTTAGAGTTGCGCACTGAGCCGAACCTGAAAGTACCGGAATGGTTTACTTCCAGGTTTCAGTGCTCGGACATGCACAGAACCACCAAATTACGACCCACGCATGCGCAGATGCAACACTGCAGGTTGCGAACGCTGCGGATTGCGAACATGTCTCCCACACGGATCATGTTTGCAACCCGAGCATCCACTGTACTCCAAAAGAAGTGGTGTTATGAGCCATCAAACATCTGAAATGCACTTTTTTCTAAAAGGCTTTCACAATTTTACCACTACAGTATATCAAAGAAAGCAACATTCAACAACTCATCAGAATCTAATAATAAATATGTTGTTTAATGACAAAGAACAAAGTTAATGAACACACACGCAACTCCCTTTAGTTCTTCTTCATTTGTTCCTGAGGCTCTAATCCCTTTTTGTCTCCATTGCAGATTGTGATGAATTGCAGATCAAGAACAAGGCTGAGCAAGACAAAATTGCCAGAGAGGAGAAGCCATGGAAAAATTTGGAGTATGGAGAGAGCTGCAGTCAGTGTGTGGAATGTGGAAAGAGCTTCAGGGAGAGCTCCAGTCTCACTTCCCATCAGAGAATTCATACAGTGGAGAAACCTTATCAGTGTATGGAATGTGGAAAGAGCTTCAGTCACAACTCCTCTCTCACTTCCCATCAGAGAATTCATACAGGGGAGAAACCCTATCAGTGCGGGGAATGTGAAAAGAGCTTCAGTCAGAGCTCCAGTCTCACTTCCCATCAGAGAATTCATACAGGGGAGAAACCCTATCAGTGTGGGGAATGTGGAAAGAGCTTCAGGAAGAGCTCCCATCTCACTTCCCATCAGAGAATTCATACAGGGGAGAAACCCTATCAGTGTGTGGAATGTGGAAAGAGCTTCAGGAAGAGCTCCCATCTCACTTACCATCAGAGAATTCATACAGGAGAGAAACCCTATCAGTGCATTGAATGTGGAAAGTGTTTCAGTCACTGTTCCAATCTCACTTCCCATCAAAGAATTCATACAGGGGAGAAACCCTATCAGTGTGTGGAATGTGGGAAGAGCTTCAGGGAGAGCTCTGGTCTCACTAAGCATCAGATAATTCATACAGGAGAGAAATCCTATCAGTGTGGGGAATGTGGAAAGAGCTTCAGTAGAAGCTCCCATCTCACTTCCCATCAGAGAATTCATACAGGAGAGAAATCCTATCAGTGTGGGGAATGTGGAAAGAGCTTCAGTCACAGCTCTGATGTCACTAAGCATCAGAGAATTCATACAGGGGAGAAACCCTATCAGTGTGAGGAATGTGGAAAGAGCTTCAGTCAGAGCTCCCATCTCACTTCCCATCAGAGAATTCATACAGGGGATAAACCCTTCATTCTATAGCTTTAGGAGCCAGGCTAATACGCACCTTTTTAACCAGGCCTTTGGCTGATTGACATCTAAGGCCCTTTTAAAATGTGGTGGGGAGTTGAGTTACTGATGTGTATTTTGTGTTTTTATGTTGTGTTTTTATGTTGTAATCGTCCTGAGACATGTGGGAACAGGAGTCAACAACTAGAGGCCAAGGGGCTTTTGCCCCCCAATAGTATATTTGAGGGGCCACCACCCCCAGTTGATAGGCATTGCCATTCCAATGGCCTGCATGCATCATGTGATTGTGCAAGGCGGGCCTTACCTGGCCCCTCCCACCAATATTTTATTCAAGTCAGCACCATTGGGTTGAGTGGTATGCTAATTAAATATAGACATAAATCGCCTTCCTTTGCACATGTTCCAGCTTGTCAATATCCTTATTCATTATCATTTTTAATATTTATGTGCCCTTCATCTGAAGATTTCACAACAGAAACATACAGGATAAAAGCATGACTTTCTCAAAAACAAGAAAAGCCAGAGAAATCTCTCCTCCCCGGCAGCAAAAAGAAAACCAATGAGCGCATTCAAGCCTTGCCCCCTGATCATGTAAAGAGTTCCCTCCCAACTTCTGCTTTTACAGTCTGAACATGCGGTATAACCTTTCCCCTGATTTATGGTAAGAAGGAAGAAAAAGGAACTTCGGCCCTTACACTCCTACGTGGCCATCTGCTATACCGGGACATTCTGCGGTTAGCATCTTCCTGTTTGAGCTACTCGGGACCCTGTCTGCACAGGGGGGAAAGTGCCAGGACAGCAGATTTATTGCTTCCCCCTTATGTTCGGGAGACATTGAGAAGAACAAGGGAAGCGAACTGGGGCAGAGTTCATTTCGGATTTTTCCGATCTAAGCAATTTGCTATAAGCTTTTGCAGAAGCCGTCATGATTCAAACATGGATTATATAAAAATCATTATAAGGATATATGGTTATATGGCTAACTGATTCTATGAAAAGCATAAGGGTAAAATTCCTCCAGGTGGTCCTGCTTCACCCTAACCTCAATAAAACAATCCACAAACAGGCTAAAATCTGACAAACAAGCAGCGCATTGGGGCTGCCAGAGCATATCAACACCCTCATCCCTACCCCAACTTACCAGTGATGTTAATAACATTAGCAACATTGCTTATGGACCCTATATCCAACATAGGCGTCACAAAGACGGTTGGAGGATGGATGGCAGCCAACAGATTGAGGTTGAATCCAGACAAGACAGAAGTACTGTTTTGGGGGGACAGGGAGCAGGCTGGTGTGGAGGACTCCCTGGTCCTGAATGGGGTAACTGTGCCCCTGAAGGACCAGGTGCGCAGCCTGGGAGTCATTTTGGACTCTCAGCTGTCCATGGAGGCACAGGTCAATTCTGTGTCCAGAGCAGCTGTTTACCAGCTCCATTTAGTATGCAGACTGAGACCCTATCTGCCCGTGGACTGTCTTGCCAGAGTGGTGCATGCTCTGGTTATCTCCCACTTAGACTACTGCCATGCACTCTACGTGGGGCTACCTGTGAAGGTGACCCGGAAACTACAACTAATCCAGAATGCGGCAGCTAGACTGGGGACTGGGAGCGGCTGCCGAGACCACATAACACTGGTCTTGAAAGACCGACATTGGCTCCCAGTACGGTTTCGAACACAATTTAAAGTGTTGGTGCTGACCTTTAAAGCCCTAAACTTCCTCGGTCTAGTATATCTGAAGGAGCGTCTCCACCTCCATCGTTCTGCCTGGACACTGAGATCCAGCTCCAAGGGCCTTCTGGTGGTTCCCTCACTGTGAGAAGCCAAGTTATAGGGAACCAGGCAGAGGGCCTTCTCGGTAGTGGTGCCTGCCCTGTGGAACGCCTTCCCACCAAATGTCAAAGAGAAGAACAACTACGAGACTTTTAGAAAACATCTGAAGTCAGCCCTGTTTAGGGAAGCTTTTAATGTTTGATGCATTATGATATTTTAATATTTTGTTGGAAGTTGCCCAGAGTGGCTGGGGAAGCCCAGCCAGATGGGCAGGGTATAAATAAAAAAATATTATTATTATTATTAAGACACTTAACACCGTTTCACTGACCACTCCCTATCGCAAATGACAGGGAGGATGGCCTGACCTTGAACAAAGGACTCCATGCCATCTGAGACCTAGGACCAACTGGCTAAATGCCAGATGGCCCATGATACCCCAAATAAACACCTATATGACTACATAGGGGATTCTTTCTGCAACCTACCCCCCACTCTTTAACCCAAATCTAATTCTAACCCCCCTGCTTCCCTACCCACCACACTCTAGATCAGCACAATTTCACTGGTTTGATAGACAATACAAGGTGAGAGACACAGGGCAACCCAAACTGGCTGGCATGGAATTACCCTATATAGTAGATAAGCAAGATGGCTAGCTTAAAAGCAATTACATTAAATGTGAGGGGGTTGGGAAATCCCATCAAAAGAAAATGCATCACCTTGTATGTAAACACCATGAAACCACACATCGCCTTCCTACAATAAATACACAACCCTCCCAAACTCCTGAGCGATCCCTGCTTCAGTCAACAATGAGTTGCACCTGGCTCAGCGAAGTCCTGTGGAGTAGCCATAATACTCAGTAGAGACCTGAACTTCAAAGCCGCAACAGTCCTCAAAGACAAAAGAGGCAGACTCATTTTTGCTAAAGGGACACTAGATGGCAAAACTAAACTGACAATTGGCTCCATATATGCCCCAGACTTGAAACAGCTAGAGTTCATCCAAAAAACATTAAACAAGTTCCTCTCCTCTGAAGGGAAAGCAATTCCGGGAGGGTGACCTCAACCTAAATATGAAAAGCATATCCCTGAAAGACACCCACCCTACAACCCCCTGGGCAACCTTCCTCCGAAGGAAACCCCCAACAATTAGGGACTCTTACAAGTTGCTAAAAATGCTAAAAACTGGTCTCTATGACATTTGGAGTGAAGAAAACCCAGGAGACACCAGCCACACATTCTTGTCTGGGTGCCATGGCACAGTGTCCACCTGGACAGCATTCTGCTCACACAAGGTCTGATCCCCTCAGTAGAATCAATGAACATAGGTAACTTTAAAATCACAGATCACGCCCCAGTAGAAATTACCCTCAAAATAGGAGAGGGAACACAAGCCACCCCATCATGGTCCTTCAGTCCTGTCCTAACCACAAATAAACAGAGTCTCACAGAAACTCTCCCAAACTACTTCAAGGAAAACAATGTAGGCAACAAACAACCCCGCTCCTATGGGATGCAATGAAAGCGGTCACCAGAGGAGCTTGTATAAAAGAGAAAGCATCCCTTAAAAAACAAACCTCCTTAAAAGTTAGCAAGATAGAACAAGACATCACGGCCCTCTCATCATGCTACAAACAGGATCTAAAAAAATTCTTAAAGCTATAGAACAAAAACGGAGAGAACTAGATTCCCTAGAAATCAACAAAACAATGATCAACATTCTATACTCTAAACAATGCTTCTACAAGTATGGAGGGGAAAGCTCCAGACTATTAGCAAACAGGTGTAGGAAAAAAGCACTCAGAACAAGAATACATTGCAACACCAAAAAGGACGGCAACATAACATTTCCCCCCAAAGAAATAACCTCAGAATTTGCAGAATTGTACTCCAACCTATACACCTCCCATAACTGATAAGGAACAGGACAGTCTTATCACCCCAGAGGAAATAGATACAGTCCTCAAAAACCTGAAGCCGCACAAAGCCCCATGGCCCAGACAGCTTTACAGCAGAATTCTATAAGAAATTCAAAGAACCCCTGATGCCCTACATTGTGGGAGTCATAAAGCCACGGCAAAGGCTTGTAATATTGCAGGGTGCCCCCTGACCTCGGCTGACCAGCACTCTGAGCTTTACAATGTATTGGAATGTATTGACCTTAAATGGAGTTGTGTTTCCTCTGGGCAGTGATGACCCTATATGGTGATGGGTGTAATAAAAGCCTTGACCGGATGAGGTAACGTGAGACATTGGCAAACGGCCATGCGGCTGGAGAGAGACAAAGGATAATAAAAGTTACCGGAGGGAGAGAAGAAGTTCGAAGGAGCTGCTCCTCCATCCTGAAAATACAGCTGTCTCACTGTGTCTTTATTTTATGCTAAACAGCACCATTTTGTGACGGCTGGCTCCGTCACTACATGACCCACCTATTCAATGAAATCATAAAAGGGTGCCCCATTCCAAAAACCTGGACCTACTCGAAGATAGTCTCCATCCCAAAACCACTGAAATACAGCCTCAAAGTAGAATCATTCCGCCCAATCTCAATAATAAACCATGACTATAAGATACCCACATCAATCTTGGCCAACCGCCTAAAATTCTTCCTACACAAGTTAATAATCCCAGACCAGACTGGCTTCGTCCCTGGCCACAATATAACAGACCCCATCAGGAAACTACTGAATCTGATTGAACACAGCAAGGCAACTAAACTCCCACTGACAATTATGTCCCTAGAAATCCAAAAAGCTTTTGATTGCTTAGAGTGGAAATATATTTTGGAAGTACTAACTAACATGAAATTTGGCCCCAACTTCCTACAAACCCTCAAACAAATATACACCCGAGCCTCAGCAAAATGCAAGACTAACAATAATACCATAGCAATCCAAAGAGGCACAAAACAAGGATGCCCAGTGTCTCCCTTCCTATTCATCCTGGCTCTGGAACCTTTAACAATCCGAATCCGAGCAGCTGCAGACATCACTGGAGTGGAAATAAAAGGCAGAAACTATAAATCAGGGCTCTTGGCAGATGACCTAGTGCTCACAACACCAGACCCCATAAACACAGCAACCTCCCTAACCGGAGAACTCAACACATTTGCAATGGTATCAGGCCTACAGGTAAATTTTGCAAAGTCAGAAGCAATGTGCTTCAACACCCCCCTTACACCCCAAAATAATTTGCCAACGTCACCAAGATAAAACTTTGCCGCACCAGGCTCAGATACCTAGGGGTACAAACAACCAGAAACCTCAACAAATTATACCTCTACAACTACAACCCCTTGTGGTGACAAATTAACAAAGACCTAAAGAGATGGGACAACACAAACTTCACTCTCTCAGACAAAGTAGCCATGATCACCCTCCCAAAACTAACCTACCTATACCAAACCTCCCAATATGGATTCCCTCAGCCACAAGTGGCAGAAGAAACTACAAATTCCCAAAATCCAATTATTCTGGACAACAACCATATGAGAAATATGCAAAATAACTAAGCAAGTATTAGAAGTTACCCCAGAAATGGCCCTACTAAACAAGACAATAACGCCCACTCACATCACAAAGAGCTCATAACCCACCTACTCTCAGCTGCCGGAAACATCATAGCCAGACACTGGAGAGACCTGTCAGGAGTAAGCATGAACCAATGGTACCAAATAGTATGGGAAATAGCCTTATTAGAAAAACTAACCAATGAACTGAAACTGACACGGGGATAAATAGAAGAAGACGCCTTCACTCTGGTATGACTCCCAACAGCATATGAATCAAGATGGCTAACCTGATCCAAAACACCCACCCACCCCACTCACACATGAAAACAAAGACCACCACAGCCAACCACAAACAAACAAGCACACCCTGGGCCAAACCCAATCTCTCTCACCACCAAAGGAACACAAGCGAATAGTAGAGAACCCACACGAGTGACGCTGACACAAAACCCCACACATACATTAAGTAAAATAGAAACTGTGAGGAGAACCAGAGATTTTAGGGTTAATAGCTCATGGAGTGACGGCCTGCCAGTGGGGGGGGGGTGTTCACATGGGGGGGGGGGTTCTGCTTTGTTATGTGAGCTTTTTACTTTCGGGTTTTTTTTGCTACCATACAGGCTCTCTCTCCCGGCCTGTTTCTCTGCTGTAAATAAAGCTTCTTAGATTAGGAAGAAGCTGCGTGCTGAGTGTTTTTCTGCATGCCTGAGATTCCTCCACACAGAGCACACACCGCTGATCGCAACACTGTGCTACACGTCCGGAGCGAGCTGAAGCACATCTGAAGTGTGTTGGGTGTTCAATTTCAGAGGTTATGGCTGCATAACACAACAGAAACATTGTCACCCCACCCCACCCCCATTCCCCATGCCCCCACCTCTTTCCCCCTTTTCTTCCTAATTCAACACTAATGTCTCAACAGAGGAAACTGATCTGTAGAAAATGTAACTTGAAAAAGGAGAAATTGCACATACTTTTGTAAACCAAGAAATAAAATATGTTGTGGTTTTTTTTAAAGAGAGGGATCCCAGCCCAGAGTCTGGCTGCCGCATTGGGGACCAGTTCCCCAGTGTCTCCCAGGGCAGCTCCCCACGGAGGCCACTGCAGCAATCCCCTCGCACCCAGAGCAGGGCATCCCAGGACCACATCCTCTCTGTCCCAAAGGGATTGTTGCTGGCAAAGCAGCCGGAAATGGGCGCTGCTACTCACTGAGCCTCCAGGGACCTGGGCATCAATGGCTGTGCGTGTGTTAAGATATCTAAAAATAATCCCAACCATAAATGAATGGCAATCGAAACTACTCGACTATCTAGAACTGGCAAAAATGACACAGAAAATAAGAAATCAAAAAGACACAAAGTTTAATAAAGATTGGAATAAATTCATGGCATACATGGAAACAGAGGTAAAAAAAACTAAAAAACACAGTAGGTGCGATATAACACTTGTGATGTAAAGAATTTTTTTTTGAGGAAAAGAAACTGCAGATAGAAAAATTTTATAACACATTCCAAAACCGAGATGAAGGGAAGTCAGTCAGTGTTGTGTGTTATGTAGTTAATGTAGTTAATTTGTTGTTGTCTTATGTCAGGAGTATATATATATATATTTTTATATATATATATATATTTTTCTTTATTTAGTTTTTTTGGTGTGAATGTGTTGTGTTTGTCTTTTTTGTTTGTATGGTGTTACAAAATAAAATTTATATATATATATATATATATATATATATATATATATATATATATATATAAAAGATATCTAAAAATAATCATAATAAATCACCCGCCTAAATTTCAAGGGAGATGTCTTTGGCCTCATCCACTTGGCCCTCAGGGGTTTGCCAGATACGTTCCTCTTGCTGGCCTTCTCCCACTTTGGAACAAGCTTCCTCAAGTGTCCACATGAGAGTCAGAGAGGTCAGATAGAATCGCAGGATTGCAGAGTCAGGATGTACCCCAGGGGTCATCTAGTCCAACCCCCTGAAAGGCAGGAATCACAGCAAAAGACTCCCTGACACATAGATGGCTCTAGGTGATGGCTTCTTCTTGCGGTTATCAGCCTCTAGGAAGGCAACATCTTTTTATATGGTCTATAGAGATCTTGCTCTTCCTGCCTGTGGGCCTCCATTCCTAGTCTTTGCTCTCTATTTATAAGGAAAGATGGAGCAGGAATTTCTATCCCTTTTGATCTTGCGGAGTTTTGATGAAGCCTCCAAAGGAACATCGGAAGATGCCGTCTGCTGAGCCCGACCAAGGGCTCCCTCTAGCTCTGCATTGTCCACACTGACTGGCAGCAGCTCCCCCCAGTTTCATCCAGCCCTTGCGGGAGATGCCAGGGGCTGACCCTGGGACATTCTGCATGCCAAGCAGATGCTCCTGGTTCCCCATATTTCACTAGCCTTTCAACGTTATTCTGTTAGCAACCGTGGAGATTCCACCTGCCTCTTTCCAAAGGAGAAAACTCACCTGTTTAAAGAATTTGAGGCAATGCATCATTTGTATACTTTTAATGAGTTCTATGTTTTCAACGTCCCTGAGATCTCTTGGTGAAGGGCGGTATATCAATTTAATAAATATTAACAACCATCCATTGTTAGTCCCCTGAATTTGCAATGAAGTGCATGGGGGGGGGGGCTCATTTAATTTCACTGCACACAGGTGGTGTAGTGATAATAAAGGTTTATTATTATTACTGTTCTCGAAGCTACCAGCATGAGTTTGACCAAACTGCGGGAGGCAGTGGAAGACCGGAGGGCCTGGCGTGCTCTGGTCCACGGGGTCACGAAGAGGTGGACACGGCTAAACGACTAAACAACAACAATTATTACTGGAAGGAGAAATGGCATACAGTGGTACCTTGGGTTATATACACTTCAGGTTACAGACTCCGCTACCCCAGAAATAGTACCTCAGATTAAGAATTTTGCTTCAGGATAAGAACAGAAATTGTGCTCTGGTGGCACGGCAGCAACGGGAGGCCCCATTAACTAAAGTGGTGCTTCAGGTTAAGAACAGTTTCAGGTTAAGAACGGACCTCTGGAACGAATTAAGTTCTTAACCTGAGGTACCACTGTAAAGGTAAAGGTAAAGGGACCCCTAACCACTAGGTCCAGTCGTGACCGACTCTGGGGTTGCGGCGCTCATCTCGTTTATTGGCCGAGGGAGCCGGCGTACAGCTTCCGGGTCATGTGGCCAGCAGGACTAAGCTGCTTCTGGCGAACCAGAGCAGCGCACGGAAACGCAGTTTACCTTCCCACCGGAGCGGTACCTATTTATCTACTTGCACGTTGACGTGCTTTCGAACTACTAGGTTAGGTTGGCAGGAGCAGGGACCGAGCAACAGGAGCTCACCCCGTCGCGGGGATTCGAACCACCGACCTTCTGATCGGCAAGTCCTAGGCTCTGTGGTTTAACCCACATCTATTTACATCCTTGCCAAAGTTCAAGGATTCTCGCTTGAGGCCGAAGTCTTCTTCTTGAGCTTCTGCCGCTCAATCCTGTCTCTTCTCTCTCTTTCAACATGTTGGGGAGACAGGAGAACCTGCAGAGTCCAGCGCTGCTGAAGGTCCGTGCCCAAACTTTCCTTTTGGGCTTTTGTCCAGAAAAGGCAGCTTCATGAGCGAGATGTAAAACAGTCTTTCTGTCTGTCTGGGGCACACACTTGGCTCAAAGTCTGGGGCAGATTTCTTTGGAAAGAACTGTCTACAAAGCAACGCTTCCTCCCAGATGAAACTAATTCTTGCTTCAGTTCCAGCCCTGGGGACCCCTGCACTTCTACATACTTCTAAAGTTGGGTCCTTAAGCATTTCTTTCTTAAAGTCATTATTAAGCCATGTCATGCTTATGATATTTTATTCTCTTTTTAATGACGGTATGCTGTTATAAATGTGCATTTTATATTTGACTTCACTTAGCAATGTTGTTTTTTTTATAAAAAGTTTAAGTTTTTTTCTGTTAACCTTGTGTTAAATATGTATTCTGTAGTTGACCTTCTTTGTAATGTTTTATTTTGAAATTTTAAGATAATATTTTAGTTTTCTGTTAATTATGTTGTTTTGACTATATACGCTATATACAACTATATTTTGACATATTTTATTGATGTTTTAATATGCTGTAAACCACTTTCAGATTTTTCTTAAAAATATAAAGCGGTATAGAAATGAAAATAATGATGATGATGATGATGGTGAAGGGGTGAAGGAGGAGTCATGGTATTCTCACCATACTTTGCCAAAGAAATTTCTGGTGACTCAAAATCTTCACGAAACTGATTTACATTTCCAATGACAGGCTCCTCAACACATTGGCTGGATGATACACCAAAAGTTAACTCTTTAGAGTCCGGCAACAGCTCTTTTTGCTGCTGAGCTAAATGCTATTTAAAAGCGAGATCATTGCTTATAAGGCAAGGTGTAAACATATCATTTTCATGTACTAAAACTGATAAGGACCCTTTAAAATCTTTGTATTCACAATCTACCTGGGCTGGACTGGTTTTTACTGCTTGGACCCCACAGGGAGTTCCAAACAACTATTTACCTTCTAAAAATTGGCCAGGCGGTAATAACCCCTGAGGAAGCATCAGCCCCTGTGTCCCGTAACCCAACTATTAATATGTTATTAATTTTAATTTCATCACTGAATTGCACCTGAGCACCTGAACCCATCTAGATTGACACAAGTCAATTAATGCCGTTCTCACAGAGGCCCATTCTGGTGAACCATTTTCTGTTGAAGCTTGATTCTGGGGAGTGGGAGCTGCTGTTAGATATTGGTCACTTGGCCTTTCTCCCTCCTCCCATGAAGCTTCCTCAGACTGCAGCACACACACTTGTGCTGTTCTCGATATGCGACCTGCCAGCCATTTTCTGTCTTGCCGCAAGCTACACTCTTTCTTCCAGCCATCAATCATGCAAGACGTGGCAGGAGAGGTCCCCGGCTAGGCTCCTGGGGTGCTAGTCCTCAGCATAGACCTAGCTACTCACACCTTGAAAAGGTGTGATTCACAACAGCAGAATCTCATAGGTTAGTTTACTCTGTTGACAGCAACTGTGCATAGGAGCCAACTCCTAGGGGGCAGAGGTCCCTTGACCCTCTGATCACCCTGTGATCAATTATGCAGGGGGGGAGCTTACCTGCTCCACCCTCAATATTTTGTTCAAGTTGGCACCCCTGCCACCATGAGTGGCATGGAAGCAGCACCACATGCTGCCATGCTGTGCCCACACTGGTGTGGACCCCCGTCTTGCCCCCTGCCAAGCTCTGAAGAAATCGAGAACAGTTCAATGGGTTTGTTGCCAGTGTTAGCTCTATATGAGAGTAAGGGTGCCGGAATTTCCCGGTGAGAAAGCCAAAGTTGTATTTGTGATTAGCCTGCTAGAAGGGGACACCAGGCACCGGGTGGCCCCCATTCTCATTGCTGTCAGAAAACAGGCTATGATTGGACCCTTCCATTCTCTATTTTTGTAGCCATCGAGATCTGAGCTTGCAGAAAAAGGTCTTTTCAAGGTGATTTTAAGGGCTGACGCCAAAGAGTCCCGCAACCTAGATGGCAGAGTGTGGATTGTGCATTAAAACAGTGGGGTGGGGTGATATCTTGGTTTTGCTTTTGTGTAGAAATCATGGGACACAGTTTCACTCATCTTAAAGTGTCTTCTTAGAGCCAGGCATCATCAGGCACCTTCTTACAAATATACTGCATGCGTTGAGCACAGTTAAATGCCATCCAGCATCTCTCGTAGTAGCAATCAAAGGTCATTGCCCCACAGTCGTGGAACGCTTCATAATTTGGCTCATAGTAATTCCAGTACCTGAAAAGAAAGAAACAGCAGCACTGATGAATCAAGATTGGATGTTTACTTCCTCACCTGCTCCCCATGCCTTCTACCATTAAAAAGATGTTCAGATCTTTCTCTCTTAACCTCCCCCCACAACTGTGATGGATTTTTCTCCCCAGATTTTAGAATTCTAACCATGTAAAAACAACAACAACAACAACAAGAACACCACACACATGCAGACACAAACTAAGACTCTCTACATTCTTTTCATATGAAGTGATTTCTCATAGGAAACTACAAAAAAGTGAGGCTGTCACTGTGGAAGGCTCAGTGGTACACACAAGAACTTTCATTCAATTTATTCAGTTTATTTTACAATTTTGTGTAGTATCCCATGCAGTACTTCTGCTATTGCCAGGATTTCCATTTCTGCAACAGAACCGCCCCTCTCTCCTCTCCATATCCCCCACATCCTCCTCAGATCTGCTGTGTACTGTTGCGGGTGATGGAGAGAGAGTTTTGGAAGAGAGAGCCTTACTCTCTCGTAGCCGAGTTAACACAGTAGTGACTGATCTGAGCATATTAAAAACTTGTTAGATTTGCATCCGCTTTCATCCACCTCATCTCACATCCATCACCCACCCCATGCATGAGGATAGCAATGACAGTATACAGAAACTAAAATAGCTACGTCTACAAATGAAATACAAAAAATAATCTATAACCACAAACCATTATAGAGTTGATTGAAATATATCATCATCTCATTGACTGAAATATATCATCATCTCATTGATTGAAATATATCATCTCTCACATATATAGCTTATCTAAATCTTACATGATGGTTCTAAGTTTAATCAATCACCCAAGCCTCCCACTTATTGGCCTTGCATTCTCCAGTGTCCATTGTATACTGAATCAAGTCCCACTACATAGCACTAAAATTCTGTGATAAATGTATTCTTTAACTCCCCCATTTTTAACTCTCCATGAATCTATTCAATTGATACTAGTAATAATGGTGTAGTAGGTGTTTTTTACTCCCATGAGATGTTTGGGTTGGATGTGCCCTTGGATCAAGTCTAAGTTCACATACAGCAGTGATTCACCAATTGGAGGTCCAAGGACCACCCACCCAGCGGCTCCATTACACCATTCACATAACAAAAACTGCCACAGAGATATCCAAATGTTCAAAGGTAGAGGGGCCCATGGCTTGGCTTTTGAAAAAGAAGGGGTCTGTACTACTTAGCTAACTGGGAAGCACTGGCATACAGGGTTTAAGTTCCCAGCTGGTATTATCCAACTCCAATGGCCGTTTGTGAACTTTACTCAATGCCTTTGCCAAAAAGGTTAAGTGATTAGTATTGGCTGCATCAATGGAGATGAATGCCACTGGATTTTGTTCCAGGAGAAAGCGACCCTCTATTCATCCAGTCTTGGTAATAAATGCCAGACCAGCTCGCTGTTCTACTACCAAGCTGTGGATGAGTGAGATCTTACTCTGACCTTGTCAATCCATCAACACGGGTTGAAAAGAGTTGTTAGGTACTTAAAGAGAACCATGAACTGTCTTAAACAACCCAAAACTATCGGGGATCTGTCAGTGATTCCTGCTTTGCAGGGGGTTGGACTAGATGACCCTTGGGGTCTCATCCAACGCTAAATTTCTATGTGTCTATGATTATATCCAAGAAAGTGAGCTTCATCTACCCTCCCTTACACACTTACTTCATCTGCTCCTATTATTTTAGGTTTGAAATTGCTGGTTATTCAGCTTGTTTAGCAGATAACTGCAGAAATACTTTCCTAAAGAGAGTGTTGCTCAGCTTTAGGTTCTTGCAAGTCCTTTTGAAGCTGAGCTAAGCAGCACAAAACATTTAAAATCATGCCTTCATCCTCTTCTGAATCACCGCATTCACTAGGTTAGAGAAGCATTTGGAACGCATGCCATTCTTCATAAACTTACGTGGTTTCAGGACTCATTCCTGATGTCCATCTCCATGTCCCTCCCTTGTCTTTAAAGAGTCCAATCCAAAAAAGCATTTTACGGCCTTTTACTTGCTGGTTTATAAAGAACTAGGGTAGGGGAAGGGAGAAAGAAAAAACAGAAAATCATCAGTAGCAATGAGGAGCAAGGCACTTCTCTCAAAGCCCTTCTAGACAATGTTCCTTTCTCTGGGAGACTACAGCCCTTTACCGACATTCAACAGGCACAAAACAAATACGTTTCAAAAGGAGCAGGTGTCACCATTGGAAGTCCAATACACATTTTTCTAAGAAGCAGTGATCAAAACTATACCGTGGTACCTTTGTTCTCAAACGCCTTGGTACTCAAACACCTTGGTTCCCAAACGCGAAAACCTGGAAGTAAGTGTTCCAGTTTCTGAACATTTTTCAGAAGCCGAATGTCCGATGAGCCTGTCTGGCTATTGTTCCCAGGGTGCCTGCACTAACCGGAAGATGCTCCTTGGTTTTCAAACATTTCATAAATCAAATGGACTTCCGGAATGGATTAAGTTTGGCGTTTTGGGTTTTGCTATTTATTTTGCCTTTTTGTTTTTTAGGCTTTTTTGCTTAATTTGTTTTTGTGAATGTGGAACCCAGTTCAGCTACTTGTTGATTGATTGATTGTGTGATTGTGGAAATGGTTAAAAGCATCCCATCCAAACAATGACTATCATCAGTGCAGGTAAGAAAATAATAATAATTTTAATTTCCGTCATCTACGATGCTTCTTATTAATTTTACAGCACATTACATAGATTCTTGCTTTCATTTTGTGGTCTCGTTAGATAGTAAAATTCATTTAAATTGCTGTTTTAGAGGATGCTTTTAAAAGGTTGGAATGGATTAATCTGTTTTGCATTGCTTTCTATGGGAAAGCACGCCTTGGTTTTGAAATGCTTTGGTTTTGGAACGAACTCCTGGAACGGATTAAGTTTGAGAACCAAGGTACCACTGTACATAGTACTCCAAGTAAGGTTGCATCAAGCACCAAGAATAATTGTGTACTGAGGATGTGCTATTGTCCCCCTGATCCAAATTATGATGATGCTGATGATGATGGAATCAAGGAAGCATCCCAAAGAGGAAATATTACAGTGAAGGGTAACTTCACCTGCCCTCACCGAGACTGGCTACATATGTCTTTCCATACGTATGTCTTTCATGAAACAGAGTTAAAATTTCCAGATACTGTAAATGACTGTGCCATAAAACAGTTTGTCTTGAAACCATCTAGCAGGACAGTGACCGGTGTAGCAAACACTCCAATTTCTGCATCCATGCTTGCTTGTTGATTCCAGAGACACTGGAATCAGTCTGGTTGTGGTATGCTTGAAGGACTGATGATGGGGTCTCACTCATGTCTGTGCCCTGCAGCACCCCAGTAGCCCCTCTACCTGGGCTAAGGGGCTGGGAGAGGGATATACCTTGCAAGGTCCTCTAGAGTCATCTCCATGATACGCTCATGCCAGAGGGTTAGGGTGGAGCAGAGGAAGACTCTACAGAGCAGAGGAAGAATTTACCGGCAAGCCAAGGGATAGAAGCCCCTCAAGTATCTCCTCCAAGACCTCTTTCCTGACTGCCAGTTTCATTCTATTAGAGCTCAGCAGCTCCAAGAAACCTTAGTGAGTCCCAGATGGTAGCAGCTGCTCCCTGCCCCACCCACCCCTTGGCTTGACTGATGGAGTTGCTGTCTTGGCTGCATACAGGGGGATTGGAGCTTCTTAAATGGATAGTGATGACAGGAGCCTTTGGCTCAAGGAGATCTCCTACCTTCCTGTACTCAGCTTTGATGCTCACCTGTTCTTCCCTTGTTTCCACAGAAATGAGCCTGGCGCCCTCCTGCTCACAGTATTTTTTGGAATCCATCCATGAGCGTAGCTCAAGAGAAAAGAAATAGAATGTCCTTGAATATACAATCCAACCATCGTCCAAGTTCCTAGTAAGGATGTCTTTGAGTCAAGCCAGATATGGAGGAAGAAAAGAAAAAGAAAACAAGATAGGGAATTTAAGGGGACCAACTTTGTATTTCTGTGCGGACTTCAATTATTTTTGTTAAGTTCATTTCTGTGGCCACGTGATAACACACATTCATCTAGGAAGCTCAGAAAGATTAAAATAAGACCATTAACTCTTCACCCCATGCTGATGCTGCAGTAAATATCTGGGTGGGCATAGCTGGGAGTGCAGTCAAGAACCTTTTATTCGAGGGAATAGACAAAAGATGTACTATATAGAGCCCACCCAGGAATTAAATCAGGAGCGTGCTCTGACAGATCAGATGAGGGAAGAGGAGATTGCTGAACCTCGGGCGCCAGAGATGGAGGGAGCTGTGGCCCAGCAGGAACATGAGTTCTTGGATCTGACAAATGAACTTGGAAAAAGCCAGATCTGGAAAGATAAAGTTTGGTTTGGTTTGGAAATGGGGGGTTGGATAGACCCCCCCTATGCAGGGATGTTTGGACTTTTCAAGTCTGGCAATGGGCCGTGAGATGTTTGGGGTTGTGGGGGCTCTTAATTCTGGAGAGACTTTGAAACATGTTTTTAAATACCACATGGAGTTTAGTGTGGAATATGGAAAAGGGACTGATTTGTCGAGAAGGGTCAAAAACACTGTCAAGTTGGAGTTCCCACGAGTGAAAGGAGCAGGAGACAAAGTAAAGTACAGGTATAAATATGAAGAAGAGCTGCGGAAGGGACATGGAAGAGACTTAAGGGCCTCGGACATAAGGTTACCAGGTTAATGCGCTAGATTGATGGGATAGAAAGGACTGACAAAACCCGGGACCAGGAGGAAGAGACGCTGGATGAAGATTGGAAGAATTTTTTTTTTTTTTATTAGGATTGCTTTATAAAATTGATGAATGTTAGAAAAATGTTGGAACGAAATCATTTGGCTTTAGCAAAAATGTTAAAAGAATTATGTAAGAATATGTTATGGTTATGAGAAATTGGTATAAATAAGATCTAAGTTTTAAGTTTTAGGGTCTTTTATAGTAAGATAAAGGTTAAAATAGATTAAGGTAATGTAATGACAGAATATTATGAAAGATGGAAAGGATTTGCTGTGACAATTAACAACTAGGATACAAAAAAAGGGAGGACTGAGGAGGTCAAAGAAAGAAGGTAATGACAGCTAAGGATTCGAGAATATTGGATTTGTTTTTAAATGTTTGTGGCTTATTTTTGCTTTTTGATTGTGTTGTGTTACGTGCTTTGTTCTTATTTTTTGATTTTGATTTTTATCAATTTGTATTGTTTGATTGTGGTTTGTTTTTATTTTGTTTTTTCTCTTTCTTTCTCTTCTTTGTTTTTCTGTATTTCTAAAATTCTTAATAAATATCATTTAAAAAAAAAAAAGATGTACGTCCCCTCACAGGCCTGATCTGAACCCCTGGGGCCTCACCTATTTGTTAAAAATCTGGATACTCAGGGCAGCATCAGGGCAGATTTGAAGGTTGGGGAGGGGAAGTAGCTGTGGTTTATCAAAATTCTCTTTCTCTCTCCAGGCTCTCTGTCCACTTGTGGAGGGGGGAGGGGAATCTAGAGTGTGTGTTCCTGGCACTGGGCAACTGGGACAGATGAGGGAGTCTGCTGGTTTACCATCCAGTTTGCTGCCCAGCAGTCTCCCTGCCTGAGCTGACAGGATGGATCCAGTGGGTTTCCAAAATGGCTCTGGGGGATTTTGGTGCTCCTGCCAAACTTTGGCCAAACTCTGGAACAACAACAACAACAACAACAACAACAACAACAACAACAACAACATAATACTTTATTTATATGCTTTTATTTATGTTGTGCCCAGCCACTCTGGGTGACTTCCAACAAATTAAAACACAATTGTACACAAACCATTAAAAACTTCTCTGAACAAGGCTATTTTCAGTCAGATAGTTGTTTATTTCCTTGACATCTGGTGGGAGGGAGTGCCACAGAGCAGGCGCAGCTACCCAGAAGGCCCTCTGCCTTGCCTCGGGCAGTTGACACAATTGCCCCCGAGTGCCCTCTCCCTCTTCATGCAGCCTGTTTGGCCCCCTGGTCTACTGCAGAGGTTAGGGTGAAGAAAGAATCTGAGAGATGGCTTGAATGTGAGTGGAGGAAAAATCTGGTTGAATGCAATCGACTACTGGTGAGGGCTCATCATCGAGCCCACCAAGTGGCAGTGAAGGCTACAAAGAAGGCTTGCTTTGCTTCCTCCATTGTGCCATCCAGCAGAGCTTTCCCGGGTAGCATGGGGCCTGCTACAGTCTGAGAGCAGCTTTCTGTGACTTGTTTGCAAAGCATTTTGAGGATAAAATTGCTTGCATCTTGACCCTGCTATTACAGCAGATGAATCTCAAAGGGTGTCCAGAGCAGAGTCGGTTTCCATTGTGCTGGGTCTGCCGTTGCACCAATCACCCCACTGCCCAGCCGTCTCTCTAAGTTGGCGGAAGTTGCCTTGAAAGTGCTGCTCAAGAATCCCTCTCCCGTGGGTCAGTATAAGAAAGGACAGGTCTTTTAGCTGACCTGTTTTGATTGTCTCTGTTATAACAAAGAATGGCAAAGTCTTTTCTTTCCTCACTGCAGAAGCTAAATCAGTTCCAAAGTCCAGGAGAGCTAAACTGAGCATCCCTGATGTTTCCCTAGGGTGGCAGCTCTCTGCTCTGGCTCTAAGAGTTTTCAGCTAGAGGAGGGGCTTTCAGCTGGTGCAGACCCAGGGCTGATTCCCACTGCACTACAATTTTCCAGCATCGTAGGGTAGCTTACCAATTTCCTTTTGCAGTTGATCATTTCTGTTGGCAAAATACCGCATTTCCTCTGATATGTTTTGAGCTGCAGCGAGTATTTGGAAGTCTAAAAGATTAGAAACGGTTTAAGGCAGGAGCATCTGAAATAACAATCTGCAAATCCTAAGAAACCATTTTCAAACATTTTGAAACGCTCTAGCCTAAAACGAGGAGCAGAGCTCCAGGACGGGGTTTTTATGAATATGAGGGCACATTTGATTCTCTGTGGCTGAGATCACCAATGAAAAGTCTCTGAAGACTCCTGCGGCTGGATCAGACCAAAGACCCATGCAATCCACTATCCTATTCTCATATTAAAAGTGACTCATGAAGTATCTCTGATGTTCCCCTCCTATGTCCTCCTTTTCTGCTGGGAATCACAGAGTCACAAAGCAATTCCTCCCTGAATCCCACAGTAGAGCCAAATATACAAAGATTACTTTGCAGTTTTCAATTATGCTTTGTGAGATCTAAGAAAATACAGGCACCCAAACTCTTTTTCTGATGAATATTTGGTTGCATTCCCTATAGTTCTAAAGAGGACGTTACGTAAGCGCAGGAATTTCTCTTTGCGCAATGCAATCTTCAGCCCCCTTCCCTCCAATCTGTTCTGAAGTTTCCCCCTCCCTGGAGAGCAGCTTTGTTGATGGCATGCAGGGAGAAATGGGGGGAACGTTCCCTTGTGCTAGTGCTAAAATCTTACACTAGCACAAACATTGTGAATTGCGGTGTGATGGGGGAGGACAGCATTTCTAGTGGGGAGGTGTGAGAATCACAACTGTCTGCTTTTCTTCCTGCTGAGCAATGAAACAGGGATAAACTCTATTGGGTGCTGAGTTTCACTGAATACATGTATGGCTCAAGCAATATGAACCCCAAATTTAACTACAGGAATTGAAATCTGTTTAAATGAAACCTGTTTTAGCAAAAGTGAGGATTTGTATATAAAATGTTTACCATCCTTGTCCATATAGTTTGAATCAATCCCAACCACAAAGGTTCGAATAATGTTCATTGCCTCTTGGAACTCTGCTCTTTTTCCCACTTCCTTCTTATCTAAAAGGTAGAAAAGAAATTAAGAAAATGTGTTCTAGCCCACTAGTCTGATGAGCTGTGCAAGCGGGATACTTGGTTTCAAACTGCTATTAATATTTAATTTTAAATGCTGACTTGTAACAGGTCCCGGGACCTTAGGGAGAAGGGCGAATAAAAAATCAAATCAACAAAAACAAAAATATGACTTCTATTAATATTTTCTGCTCCAAACCCTTATACTGAGGTTTCCTATGCCTTGATTGTGGCTGCCCTGGTGGCTGGGGTTCTGTTTCCATGGCTGGCCTTCCTCAGAGAGCATTAGATTTTTGGTTGTCTAGATACACCTGTCCTCTTTGTCCTACAGACTTGCATTTGCCAGGCTGCCTCATGCTCTGCCATATGCTTAAAATATGCAAATTCTTGGATCATTTGACTCCCTCCCTCCGAGCTTTGCTTACTTTGGAGTGCCCTTAAAAAATGAACTCGCTAGGCAGATAGGCCATGTGTTCATCTATCCAGTGCTATTTTTCTAGAAAAAGAGGCACTCAAACTCGCCATTAATGACTCCCTTGTTCTCTTAGAATGGAAACATCACCCACCTGAGAGGGGCTGGAACTGAGTCCTGATGAATTCCGGCTGAAAAAAGCCCTGCATATATCTCAATATTTAGGTGGGCTATGGATCCAGCCACATTAGCCATGGACTTATCCTTTGTGGCCTGTTTTCCCCAAACACTTTCCTTGAAGGGACTGGAGCCCTAGCAGAGGGCAGGGCGCCGAGGACCAGAAATGGGGGCTCTCCCACAGCAAATGAGAATTAGTTGGGAAAGGAGGAGAGAATTGCAAGCTGGGAAAGGGAATTGTCCAGGGTGTCCCGGGGACTTGTGTTAGCCTGTGCTTCTGTTCCAAGTGCTGGAACTCACTTATTCAGGGAGAACAAAGCAGTGCCATTGCTCTCACTGGGTGACAGCTGGAACTCCCTCCCTGGTATGAAAGAGAGAGGAAAGGGGTCAATGGAAGCTGCATCCTGCCGTCTCTTTTTGGAAATGCTATTGGCATTAAAACAAAGCCCGTGTTATTAGTTGCTAAGTCCGCCAATTATGTACTTACATAGCATGTAAATCAGCAGCGTCATGGCAGTAAGGATGAAAATCTCAAATATGATCAATCTTTCACCCGTTGGAGATTGGAAGAAAGTAACCAAGTCCTGATAAGCAGATGCTTGAAGAAAGAAAATCCTGCTTTAGCCATCAGTAGCCAACATACCATTGCCACTCCAGGAAAAAGGGCTTCCATGTGCTGTGGAAGCCATCAGCCAGAGACACTCAACTGTTCAGGGGGTGGGCACTGGGGAGGATAAAAGCAGGTGGAGGGAGCAAGGCGAGATGCCTTGCTGCTTGTGGAAACTTTTCTGACCAATGTCCGGATCAGAAGACAGGAGCCTTTGATACTACTTCCTGCCCCCCAGACAAATGACAAGATGCTCCCTCCAAACACATAATTCCACATACACAAGCTGGGCTGGGCTGGCCATTGGCTCTTCTCTCAGTGTGGCTAACGGGGCAACTGAGGAGGCGCAGTGCAGCTTGTGTGGTCTGCACATCTCTACCCACCCCAGACCTGCTACCTGAGGCAACTGCCTCACTCTGCCTAATTGTACAGCCATTCCTGGCTGCACACACTAAAGGAACACAGCAGCCAGCAGCAAAGAGTAGGCTCACCCCTGGGGTTTCTATGGGGCTTAGTGGCTCTCTGGCACCCAAAGAGCTGCGTGGGCTTTACTTGGCACTCCTCCCTGGCACAACATGACTGGCTCCACTCCCTGCCCGTCTCTCCATCAACTTCCCTTTCCCGCGCATTCCTCTACTTTATGAGAAACCTCATCCCCTATGACTGTGCTGTATACAGACCACCAGTTTCATTTGCTTTTGCTTTACGCTTTCTGGACGCTGGAAGCTTTGTGGGCGTTGGCTTCACCATCCTCTCAGATGTGTCTGTGAAACAACAAACTATTATAACATGGAGGATAAGACCATGAACACATTGCTTGGATGCTGGGGGGTTTTCCCTTCCAAGCTCAGAGTATAAGTCTCTTGTCAAGCATGAAAGTTCACAATATTCTCTTTGTTGTCCTGCACTTAAACTCCCCATTTCAAGAACATAATTTTTAAAATAGATGCACGTCTACAAATGTCAAGGATTTCATCGGTACAAAGTTGAAATGGGCAACAACTTCTGGCCAAAAATGGGTCTCAATGAGGCATTTCCAACATTAAACTTTGGCGTCTGTCAGGATCAGACAATCCTTTCCCATAAAGACATTGTTGAGTCCAATATGACTGAAATGTCTTTTTCTTTTGCTGGATCAATCTCCATTTTAAAAAGATGTTCCATATGGATTCAAAGGCATTTAAAAAAATGTTTTAGATAACATAGCTTTCTCATTTGCATCTTATTCCTCTCTAAGCTCCTGGGCATCTAGTTTATAGGACTTCAGTAAGCATTTGCAAGCAACAGTTATGGGTTTGATCCATCTTTTCTCTCTATATTCATTTTATGGGGTAAATCAAATTTGGGGCAATCTTCTTTGTGGAAGAAACGGGTTGATTGTAAGATCTGTACACTAGATCAGCTGATAAATCAGATGGAGAATTTTTGGTTCTTTTTAAAATTGCAGCTGAAATCTCAGTTACTGGTGTCTGCTGAAAAGAAATATCTTCCTTTGCAACATTTGTTGGTGTTTATTTATAGGCTCTCTGCTTTGATACCAGCCCTCAGGCTGAAAGTGGCTTCCCCATAATACATTACCAGATGTTCACCATTTAATAGACTGTGTGGGATCTATGAGGTCTTCAGATGTTCCCGGGTGCCAACTCCTTCCATCACAGGCATCATGGTCAATGTTTGGGGATGACAGGAGTTGCAGACCAGTAACATCTGGAGGGCAACATGTTCCCCATCGTTGATGGAAGGTATATACATTTAATTATGGAATTACCTCCTGATCATCAGAAAAGATGGAGTACTAGATCCCATCTCAGTTGGATGCATATAACTCCAATTGAGTCTAGCAAGACTTTGGAGACCATCAGTTGGACCTGAAAAAGAAGCAGAGAGAAGCTGTTACCCAGGCTCTCCAAGTGTGCCATTTTGTTTTCTTTTTGCAAAGACCCAGCCTGACATCTGGTGCTGTGGCAGAAAGAAAGAAAGAAAGAAAGAAAGAAAGAAAGGAAGGAAGGAAGGAAGGAAGGAAGGAAGAAGGCTGTTGTCTAATCCCGTTTTGAAGCCATCTGAGCTAGCAGCCCTTGATATGCCAGCAAATGGGTTTCCCAAAGACTTGTATTTTCTGGATCATGATCTGGATCATGATCTAGATCTGGATTGACAAACTGGGCCCATGAATCAGAGCAGGGCACCTGTATTGCCAGGGAATAAAACAGAATGTGGTGCTCCTGGTTTGCGATGGAGTTGTAGCTTTAAGGTAAGGAACGTGGCTGTTTGAGAAGAAGTGAAAACAACTTCATGGCTTGGCCAGCTATCAAACACCTGCCTGCATGGGGGAAGGAAGGAAGGAGGAGCCAGTTGTCTGGGAACAAGGAAACTAGCCTGATTTTGACTGCAGAGATAAAGAAAGAATGCAAATGAAGGCTCATGCCCACACTTGTCGACTCCCAGGCCAGATCAAAGGATGGGAATGGGATTACATCATTAATTACATCTGTTGCCAGCTTATAATAATTTATTATTTGTACCCCGCCCATCTGGCTGGGTTTCCCCAGCCACTCTGGGCAGCTTCCAACAAAGATGAAAAATATCACACATTAAAAACTTACCTGAACAGGGCTGCCTTCAGAGAACAGGCCTTGGCACGAGACTTTCACTATGGACTATATAATGGCCAGCAGCTGAAGGAGACAGTGAGATCTTGATACATTATTCTATGCTCCATTCCAGAATGTGAAGAGAAAGACTGTCTGCCAGTCTGAAGCCTTCCAGATCTCCATCGGCTGGGGAGACATGAAGAACTGAACCTATTCTATTCGTATTATTATTATTGTTTCCCAAGAACTTTTGCTTATTGGTTATATTGCTAGCTTTGTAATTTATTCCAGTTGCTGTTGGCTTTACATTAGACTCTGTCCTACGTTGCTGATCAATTTCTTTGCTAATGTTAACCAATTAATAAAAGTTTGTCGCTACCTAAGAGTCTGTCAGTCCTCCGTCCAGTGGTATCCAAAGAACCTCTTGCTTGCCTGGTGGTTGCCATTGGCCAAACAGTCATTAGGAGGCCCTGGCCAGACAGTCCTAGAATGTTCCACCACTCAGTTTCATTGGATGACCCTGAGTTCTAGTATTTAAAAGAGAAAGACCACCTGTAATTTAAAAAAGTTTCCTATCATTTCCCCTCTTAGTGACCTTTTGGCCCTGGAATGAGACCCTGCAAATATCATAGCTTGTAATGAAAGTGTTAAACCCACCTCGCCTCTTTCTGTTTTGATAACTTGTTGTTGTCATGGAACAATCTTTTCTCTACTTTCTTCATAAGGTTGTTTCACCTTCCCCCTGGCTAAGAACCTCCTCCCTTGTGACGTCAGGGATTCCAGAACTCCTCCCATTTAGTCTATACCATTTCTTGATTGGCTCCTCATCACATCCAATCAGCATTTGTTATACCACCTATTTTTTCAAATGATTTTACATTTTATTTTTTATTTAGGTCGGGTACATACAGTACCTTTAAAGCATATCCCTCAGAAGAATCCTTACTCCTCATAAACTCTGCTAGTAATATTGGAAAGCTTCCTATCTCAGCACTTGTACCAGGAAATATGGCAAAGTGCATTAGTATAAATCTTCATTTGCAAAGTTAAAGCACAAAGAAAAGGAACAGACGCAGTCAAATTTCAATATGTTTGGTTTACATTTATTGAATGTATCATCATCAAAACAAACATGCCACCAATGCTCTTTTTCCAGAAAAAGGGTGCCAGAACTGACTCTTCTAATGGTGTCCACCTGAGAGGTGTCAGAACTGAGCCCTGCATGCAACTGACCTTCAACAGAGGGTAACTCATGGAGAACTGTACTTGGATTGAAAGATAGATCTGCACAAACTCAGAATTGGACTCTGCTAATAACAAGGCCAGTGGAAGTGATGATATTCCATCTGAACTCTTTGAAATTTTAAAAGATGATGCTGTTAAGGTGCTACGCTCAATATGCCAGCAAGTTTGGAAAACTCGGCAGTGGCCAGAGGATTGGAGAAGATCAGTCTACATCCCAATCCCAAAGAAGGGCAGTGCCAAAGAATGCTGCAACTACCGCACAATTGCACTCATTTCACACGCTAGCAAGGTTATGCCTAAAATTCTACAAGAAAGGCTCAAGCAGTATGTGGACCGAGAACTCCCAGAAGTGCAAGCTGGATTTAGAAGAGGCAGAGGAACCAGAGACCAAATTGCAAACATGCGCTGGATTATGGAGAAAGCTAGAGAGTTCCAGAAAGACATCTACTTCTGCTTCATTGACTACGCAAAAGCCTTTGACTGTGTCGACCACAGCAAACTATGGCAAGTTCTTAAAGAAATGGGAGTGCCTGATCACCTCATCTGTCTCCTGAGAAATCTCTATGTGGGCCAAGAAGCTACAGTTAGAACTGGTTATGGAACAACTGATTGGTTCAAAATTGGGAAAGGAGTACGAGAAGGCTGTATATTGTCTCCCTGCTTATTTAACTTATATGCAGAATTCATCATGCGAAAGGCTGGGCTGGATGAATCCCTAGCCGGAATTGAGATTGCCGGAAGAAATATAAACAACCTCAGGTATGCAGATGGCACAACCTTGATGGCAAAAGGTTAGGAGGAATTAAAGAACCTTTTAATGAGGATGAAAGAGGAGAGCGCAAAATATGGTTTGAAGCTCAACGTCAAAAAAACGAAGATCATAGCCACTGGTTCCATCACCTCCTGGCAAATAGAAGGGGAAGAAATGGAGGCAGTGAGAGATTTTACTTTCTTGGGCTCCATGATCACTGCAGATGGTGACAGCAGTCACGAAATTAAAAGATGCCTGCTCCTTGGGAAAAAGGCGATGGCAAACCTAGACAGCATCTTAAAAAGCAGAGACATCACCTTGCCAACAAAGGTCCGTATAGTGAAAACCATGGTTTTCCCAGTAGTGATGTATGGAAGTGAGAGCTGGCCCATAAAGAAGGCTGATCGCAGAAGAATTGATGCTTTTGAATTCTGGTGCTGGAGGAGACTCTTGAGAGTCCCATGGACTGCAAGAAGATCAAACCTATCCATTCTGAAGGAAATCAGCCCTGAGTGCTCACTGGAAGGACAGATCCTGAAACTGAGGCTCCAATACTTTGGCCACCTCATGAGAAGAGAAGACTCCCTGGAAAAGACCCTGATGTTGGGAAAGATGGAGGGCACAAGGAGAAGGGGAAGACCGAGGACGAGATGGTTGGACAGTGTTCTCGAAGCTACCAGCATGAGTTTGACCAAACTGCGGGAGGCAGTGGAAGACAGGAGGGCCTGGCGTGCTCTGGTCCAGGGGGTCACGAAGAGTCGGACACGACTAAACGACTAAACAACAACAACAACGAACAACGCTCCAGTCTGGGCTGCGCTGCTCCTCCGCTTCCTGGCCGAGGGACCGAGGGAGATGCTCAGAGCCCAGCCAAGAGCCAAAGGCCCCCCCAAAAAAGGGACCGAGGGAGATGCTCAGAGCCCAGCCAAGAGCCAAAGGCCCCCCCCCAAAGGGACCGAGGGAGATGCTCAGAGCCCAGCCAAGAGCCAAAGGCCCCCCAAAAAAGGGACTGAGGGAGATGCTCAGAGCCCAGCCAAGAGCCAAAGGCCCCCTAAAAGGGACCAAGGGAGATGCTCAGAGCCCAGCCAAGAGCCAAAGGCCCCCCCAAAGGGACCGAGGGAGATGCTCAGAGCCCAGCCAAGAGCCAAAGGCCCCCCAAAAAGGGACCGAGGGAGATGCTCAGAGCCCAGCCAAGAGCCAAAGGCCCCCCAAAAAGGGACCGAGGGAGATGCTCAGAGCCCAGCCAAGAGCCAAAGGCCCTCCCCCAAAGGGACCGAGGGAGATGCTCAGAGCCCAGCCAAGAGCCAAAGGCCCCCCCAAAAGGGATTGAGGGAGATGCTCAGAGCCCAGCCAAGAGCCCAAGGCCCCCCCAAAAAGGATCCCTTGCCATAGGCGGAGCCAGGTGGAAGGTGCCCCCTTAGAGCCATTCAAAATGACAGAAATTAATAGAAATCAAAGTTCTGCCCTGGCTAAGTGAGTGTGCAATGCGGGGGGGGGGGGCTGAGCTGGGCGGACTCGGCACTGCAAGGGTTAAAGGGAGCCGAGCTGCCTTCCTAGAGAGGCCAGGAAGCAAGGGGGGGCAGGTCCTCCCGAGCCAAGGCCCCTCCCTCCCAGTCCTTTCCTGCCTCGCTGCCCCTCCTGGGATCTGGTGAGTCTCCTCTCTCTCTGGGATCTGGTGAGTCTCCTCTCTCTCTGGGATCTGGTGGGGGTCCCAGGGCTGCAGCAGGGGAGGGGGCTGGGGGGACCCCAAGTCAGGGAGGAGAGGGTCCTGCCAGGGAGGGGCCAGGTCTGCCACGCTCTCCTTCCTGCAGAGCAGAGGATCCCAAACTCATTTGGCCTTCCGCCCCCCCTACAGAAAAACAATCACTCCCCCGAAATCTCATTTCTTTAAACAAAGGAGTCCCTAGAACTTTGACTCTCTGTGACGTCTCTCATCGTCACTGCACAAAAGAAGAAACATGTGCAAGTGGTTTTCCAAAGCTGGACAAGGAGGTGGACTAGACACCCCACCCCCCCAAGAAAACCCCACAGGGAAGGAGGAAGAAAAGGTGGGAAAGAGAGGCCAGGAGTAAAGAGAGGGATCCCAGCCCAGAGTCTGGCTGCTGCACTGGGGACCAGTTTCCCAGTCGTCTCCCAGGGCAGCTCCCCACGGAGGTCACTGCAGCAATCCCCTCGCACCCAGAGCAGGGCATCCCAGGACCACATCCTCTCTCTCCCAAAGGGATTGTTGCTGGCAAAGCAGCCGGAAATGGGCGCTGCTACTCCCTGAGCCTCCAGGGACATTGGCGTCAATGGCTGTGTGTTAAGATATCCAATAGAATAATAAATTTCCTGCCCTTCACCCTAAGCTTCAAGGGAGATGTCTTTGGCTCCACCCACTTGGCCCTTGTCCAGATACATTCCTGGCCCTCAGAGCAAAGAAAAAGGGACCCCACCCCATGAATCAGTCATGAGAGCAGCAGAGAGACCAAGTGCAAGAAAAGGAGACAGAAGCAGGGGAGTGGGGGTGGGGGGGAGCAACTCCTGAGGACCCCCCGGTGAGGACCCCACTAGAGCCAGGCATCCATTTTTCACAAGATGCAAATGACTCCTTTGTCAGTCAGTTCCAAATTCATGCATTGACTTTACGGAAGCATTTAATATTTGATG